ACTTGACTTATTAGGGAGAGAGATGGATTAGATACTAAAGGAGCTGCAAGACTTGGACAACATGTGTCATCAGGAGCAAGGAAAGTAAATCAGAGAGAAGATTCTGAAGATCTCGGATCAAAGGGAAGGGACTAAAAATAGAAAGCTGGATGTAGGAGTTTGTCAATATAGGGCATTCTTACGGGACATAGGACTTAACACCCTAGCAAGTTTATTCTTAAGAGGTTGATATGAAATGATACCGGGGTGGCTTTTTGAAAGCTGGAAAAAAATAAGAGCTTCTATTAATAAAGTTGAGATGTCAGAACTCATATGGAAAATTGTGAGTAAAGGGTTCACAGTTGTCAGAGAAATGGATGTGGGAGAATTGATCTATAACAAAAGACTGGAAAATCCACCACCAGACTCTATTCCTTGGGAAGTTCTGGATAATACTCATTTTCACCAAAGCAATAATGAATGTGCTGGTGATGAGGAGTTTAATAGCTATAAGAATCTCAGTAGTGTTCATCCTCTGTAGACGAAGGCTATCAGCAGATGCTCTTATATACTGGATATACTGGTTCCCTAATAGCAATAGGAATGATAGGATCCTAAATCAGCAGAAGCTATTTGGCAGCACTTAATAATCAGAAGCAAAGTAGTTATAATTATTATAATAATCAGGAAGGTTGAAATTATGGCCAAAGGGCCTCGACCTTCAGGGATCTGTGGAGATGGCTAATAGAAAATAGTGTTTCCATGGAGAAGATATACAGTTGCAAATATATATATATAGCAAATGCATCACATTTGCTAAAATGATTGATCAATATATTTAAGAATATCAACAAACTCCAAGTAGGATAAACTCAAAGACATTCACACTTAGGTACGTGATGATCAAACTGTCAAAAGCTAAAGACCAGATAAAACAACAACAACAACAATTTAAGAGAGAATCTTGAAAGTGGCAAGAGAAAAGCAACTCATTCAGGATAGAGGATCCTCAATAAGTTTAACAGCTGATGTCTCCTCAAAACCATGGAGGCCAGAAGACAGTGGAATGATATACTCAAAATGCAGAAAGAAATCGGCTGTCAGTCAAAGATTCTACATCCAGCAAAAGTATCCTTCAAAAATGAAGGATGAATTGAGACAATTCTAGATAATAAAAACTGAGAGAATTTATTGTTAGCATAACTGCCTTACAGAAAATACTAAGAGAAGTCCTACAGACTGAAATGAAAGAATACTAGTAAGAGTCCATATGAAGACATAAAGAACAGTGGCAAAGGTAATGATATAGGTAAACATAAAAGACATATACAAAACTGAAAGCTTTCCTCCTAAAAGAAAGAACAAGAGAAGGATGTGTGATCTTATCATGCCTATTCAACAACACCTAGCTAGTACTGGTGGTTCTATTTAAAGCAACTAGGCAAGAAAAAAGACATCGAGATTAGAAAGGAAGAAATAAAACTTTGTTTGAAAATGACATAATCTTGTGTAGAGAAAATCCTAAGAAACCCACAGTAACTAACTAAAATTAGTAAATTAGTTCAGCCACATCACAGGATACAAGATTAATATACTAAAATCAATTCTATTTCCATACACTAGCAATAAATAATACAAAAAGAGATTAAGAAAATGATTGAGTTTACAATAGCATAAAGAAGAACAAAATACTTAGAAATAAATGTAATCGGCTGGGCCCGGTGGCTCACGCCTGTAATCCCAGCACTTTGGGAGGCTGAGGCAGGCGGATGACGAGGTCAGGAGATCGAGACCATCCTGGCTAACACAGTGAAACCCTGTCTCTACTAAAAATACAAAAGTTAGCTGGGCATGGTGGCGGGTGCCTGTAGTCCCAGCTACTTGGAGGCTGAGGCAGGAGAATGGCGTGAACCCGGGAGGCAGAGCTTGCAGTGAGCTGAGATCGCGCCACTGCACTCCAGCCTGGGCGACAGAGCGAGACTCCATCTCAAAAAAAAAAAAAAGAAAGAAATGTAATCAAAGAAGTGCCAGGCTTCTACACAGAAAACTTCAGGACATTGCTGAAAGAAATTAAAGAAAATCTAAATAATAGATATTCCATGCTTATGGGTTAGAAGATTTAATGCTGTTAACATGGTGGTGCTCTCAAATTGAAAAAAGATTCATTGCAATCCTTATAAAAATTTCAGCTTCCTTTTTTGAAGAAATTGACAAACGGATCCTAAAATTCAAACAGAATTACAAAAGACCCAAACTAAATTAAAAATATTGAAAAAGAAAAGCAATATACATAAATATAAATTCAATCAGTGGAATAGAATTGAAAGCTGAGAAGCAAATTCTTAAATTTATGGCCAATTGATTTTTGATAAGAGTGTCAAGATAATTCAGTTGGGAAAGAACAGTCATTTCAACAGATTGTACTGGGACAACTGGATATGCATATGCAAAAGAATGAGATTACCTCACAACATACACAGAAATTAACTCAAGGCTGGGCATGGTGGCTCACACTTGTAATCCCAGCACTTTGGGAGGTCAAGGTGGGTAGATCGCTTGAGGCCAGGAGTTCTAGACAAGCCTGAGTAATGTGGAGAAACCTTGTCTCTATGAAAACTACAAAACTTAGCTGGGCATGATGGTGCACGCCTGTAGTCTCAGTTATTTGGGGGACTGAGGTGGGAGGATCACTTGAGCCTGGAAATCGGAGCTGCAGTGAGCCGTGTTCATACCACTGCTCTCCAGCTGGGTAACAAAGTGAGACCCTGTCTCAAAAAAAAAAAAAAAAAAATCTACCATTTATTAAGCATTGAATAATGTTAGTCAAACAGGATGTTAAACTGGACATTTTGATTGGGATTTTGAGATGTAATGTTTAGGAAATATAACCCATATCACATTCCAAAGTGATTTGCTAGTCTGAGATGCAACATTTCAAAGGAAAAGCAAATAAATAAATAAATAATGGTTAAGCTACTCTTAAAACCTACACTCACATCAAAGTTGTATAAAATGGCAGAGTTGTTGGAAATTACAGGGAGAGAGAATTAACTTTGGAGAGAAGACATCTTTGTTTGTTTGTTTGTTTTTAAAATTTATTTTCTTTTTTTAGGCTCGTCGAGTGAAGCAGTGGGAGTAGAGAAGGAACAAAGAAATTTGTAACTGGTTGTGATAAATTGGTTGAAAACACCACTGCACTCTGACCAGCCAAGAGAGAAGGTATTTTTGGAGAGAGGTGTGCTATGCGTTCTCCCCAAGAGCAAGGGCTGAGGGTGCTGCTCTTTGAATCTTAAGACCACCAGCAGATGAACCGAAGATGTTGGAATTGGCCTGCATGCCCAGGTTATACAGTGTGATACAGCCGGGCGCGGTGGCTCAGCCTGTAATCCCAGCACTTTGGGAAGCTGAGGCGAGTAGGTTACTTGAGGCCAAGAGTTTGAGACCAGCCTGTCCAACATGGTGAAACCCCGTCTTTACTAAAAATACAAGAATTATCCAGGCATAGTGGCATGTGCCTATAGTCCCAGGTACTCAGGAGGCTGAGACAGGAGAATTGCCTGCACCTGGGAGGTGGAGGTCACAGTGAGCTGAGATTGCGCCACTGCACTCCAGCTTGGGCGACAGAGTGAATTTCCGTTTCAAAAACAAAACAAAACAAAACAAAAAAAACAGCGTGATATGATCACCTTACACCAAACTAGTCTGTGACAAGTGGATAAAATTAGTATTTCATTGCTATTTTACTATTTCTTTGATTCCTACCTGGACTAAACATTTACAGGCTTTGCATGACCTTTTCTATGAATGATCTTTTTATGTCTTTGCTAAGTTTACATATCAGTGCACTTAGAATTATCTTATAATTTGCATAAGCTCTCAACGTAATTTTAGTAAGATGCTTTTTTGATATATGCTATTTTGTGCTGATTTTTTCCTTTGCTTTAGAGAGAGGTGCCAAGAAGTTTTCTCTTTGGACCTTAGTTTCTCTTAGGATGCTGTGCAGGCTGCTCCATTCTGGGAATCATGAGAATCATAGGAAGGTTGCAAGGTTTCCCAGAGGCACTTAGGCTAGCCCCCCTTAGTCAAGAAGCTTCACTGGCTGGAGAATGTTCTCAAGACCCCCTCTTTGAATCCCTGGACAGCACCAGAGAATTAGGACATCTCAGTTGCTGCAGGGACCACAGTCCTGCAGAGCCAATGGCTGGCAGCAGATATTTTGGACAAGAAGGTACCAGAGTCCTGAGAGGGTCTGAGGAAAGGAAGGCCATCTGGGAATAGGATTTTGGGTGGTGGATGTCTGCTTCAGTCCTGGGTTATGAGGATGTTTTGCACCCAGGAAGTGGTTGTTCTCATGAATGGAGAGGACTGTTGTGACTGAGCCTTATGCCTTAGTGAGGGGCAGTATCTGGAACCAAGGTAACATGGTTTGGCTGTGTCCCCACCCAAATCTCATCATGAATTCCCACACGTTGTGGGAGGGACCTGGTGGGAAGTAATTGAATCATGGGGGCAGGTCTTTCCTGTGCTGTTCTCGTGATAGTGAGTAAGTCTCATGAGATCTGATGGTTTCATAAGAGCACAAGCTCTCTCTTTGCCTGCTGCCATCCACGTGAGACATGACTTGCTGCTCCTCCTTGCCTTCCCCATGATTGTGAGGCTTCCTCAGCCATGAGGAACTGTAGGTCTTCTTTTTTTTTTTTTTTTTTTTGAGACGGAGTCTCGCTTTGTCACCCAGGCTGGAGTGCAGTGGCGCGATCGGAGGCTGGAGTGCAGTGGTGCAATCTCGGCTCACTGCAAGCTCCACCTCCCGGGTTCACGCCATTCTCCTGCCTCAGCCTCCAAGTAGCTGGGACTACAGGCGCCCGCCACCGCGCCCGGCTAATTTTTTGTATTTTTAGTAGAGACGGGGTTTCACCGTGTTAGCCAGGATGGTCTCGATCTCCTGACCTCGTGATCTGCCCGCCTTGGCCTCCCAAAGTGCTGGGATTACAGGCGTGAGCCACAGCGCCCGGCCTCACTGAACGTCTTTCTTTCATAAATTGCCCAGTCTCAGGTATGCCTTCATTAGCAGCGTGAAAATGGACTAATACATGAGGTTACCTCTGGCATCTCTGTGAAGAGTCCAGCATTGACCCTGATGGTTGTCACCTTGAACACAGGAGACCAGTCCCTCCCTGCACACTCCCTCAGCCCTATGAGTTACTCTCCTCACTTTGCTGCTTCCCATTCTTGGCGGTATCTCTGGAGAGAATCCTGGCTCTAGCAATGGGGCTAGGAATGGCCATGGGGACAGGCGTCACGGTTCTTCCTGGGCCTGATGGAGAGGGGTCTCGGTTCTCTGGATTCCTGAAGGGATGTGGAGCAGATTCTCATCATGCTGTGGCGGGGAGCCTGTGCTATTCTGACAGCCAAGAGGAGAGGACATCCTGAGATAACCGCAAATTCTGGGATGCAGGCTGCCTGAGGAAATGAAGCAAACACACACAAATACACAAAGACATACAAATATACACACACACACACACTTACACATACGTGCACACACACATCCTTCTGTGGGTAAACTCGTGCTTTGGGTACTTTGGGCAGGAGAGCAGGGGCGTTTTATTCTATCTGTCATTGCCTGCATGCCCCAATGCTGGAAGCACACTGAAGTCATTTCTCCCCCTTCAGATGATCTGAAAATCCCTGTTTCAGTTCATTTCGAAAATACCCCTCACCCTCAACAACAGAGGGTTATTCTGCAGAACTCATTCTTTAACAGCAGGCCCGCTGCTGCTCCAGCTGCAATTCTTTTCCCCTTCATGAAGGCTGCCAGGAATGAAAAGGGGAGGAAAAAGAAGTGGGTGGTGGCAGGAGGCTGGGCCAGGGAAGAGTGGGACCCCACAGGCTCCAGCCTGAGGACTCCTCTCTCCGCCTCTCTCCCCTGTTGTGAATGCTTCTGCTGAAAGCCGCTGGGTGAGTGCAGGGACAGAGAGCCACTGGGCTGGCTCAGCGCCTGGTGGTGGTGGTGGGGGGAGCTGCTCTGGGTTCTCGAGAGGCATCTCCAACTCTGACGTGCACACGATCATACCTGGGGATATTATCAAAATTCAGATATGACTTAGGAGGCCTGGCATATGGCCTGAGATTCTGCACGCCTGGTGATGCCAGTGTTGCTGCTCTGTGGCCACACTGGATAAAAGCATCTAGAAGGGTTTCCAGGCCAGATGGGGTGGGCATTCCCTCCCTCATACCTTGACTCTTCAACATGGATTCTGCCACCAACAGAATCCTGGACATTTTCTTCCAAGAGATGATAAGAAAAATTCATACCAAAATCATGATGGAATTTCAAAACTCTGTTCGGATATTAGAAAATTTCTCCAAACTCTGGCCTTTCCTTCCTCTCCCAACTCTTGAGCTCACAGGTGTTGCTTCGCTGACTAAAATCCTGACAGAGCTCCGATTCTGCTACCTCCCAGACAACTTTATTTGCAAGCTGTTTCTCTACTCTTAGAAACAGGGGTGTCCCTTCAGCCGAGCTTTTCCAACAATGCTGAGCTGAGGGCTTTGGTACATCTCCCCCTCCTTCTCAGCCTCAGCTGTCTAGGCCCTGAAGTTTGACCTGGGGGCCCTGTCCACTGTGGGGCAAAGCTGCAGACTTGTTGGTGAGAGGAGGATGTAGATCTTAGAAAAAGAGAAAGGTGAGCTGGGGACACCTGGACCAGATGGGAGAGACTACAGGGTCCCAGAAAAGCAGGGGATAAGGGGGTAGAAGGCTATCATATAGGGAGGTCCCTTTGATATGCAGACTTTGGGAGAGAAAGGACACTTTTGTCTGAACCCTCCAGGAGGCCCTGAAAGCATGGGACATAAGCATTGTTTTGGTGATAACAGCTGCAGGTGAAGGCAGGTGAATGACAAGGAAGGGTGCTTAGGGTTAGATATGAGAGCTCCAAACCAAGGGGCCCTAGGCAAGACCTTTTGTTCTACTCTTGCCCCTCTCTCCTTTCCAAAATCCCAAAGCTCTTTGGTGAGCTCTGGAGACTTCAGCTTGGTTCTGAGAGACTCTGAGAGGATTTAGGTGTCTCTTCATGGGCCTGGGGTGGGCACGGGAGAGACAGAAAGAAAGGAGACACTAGATAGGGCCTCTGGAAATGATTTGAATCCCTGACCCTTGAAATATGTCAGAGCCACCCTGTGTTAAATTCCAGGTCTGCTGGAAATGTGCTAGAAATGTGTTTAGAGGGTAGTGGACCTGCACTTCGAAATAAAACAAGGCTGACAGCAAGACTTGAGAATTTACCTAATGATCATCTAGTCTGATAACTCTCAAGAGAGGAAGGACAGAAACCCTCAGAGCCCTGGGGATGCTTTCCCTAAATCCAGGGACCCCCTAGACTTACAAGGCAGGGCAGGGCTGCAGGTATCCTCACAGATGGGGCCGATTGAGGGAGGATGCGTGACCAACCTAGATGAACTCAAACTGTGACTCTTAATGGCTCAAAATATAGTGTCTTGCAGTTGGTGGATGATGACATATTTCTCTGGTCAATTGAGACCCTTAGAATTGTCCCTGGGATGCATCTCAACCCATCCTTCTGACTGAGACCACAGGGCAAGTCCGAATTACAGGGAAGATAATTTGGGGAACAAATCCTTGAAGAAGCAGGAAAGGTGAGACCCAAGGACACAAATTTGGAAGGGACGGTAGAGTTGGGTAACTGTAGGTCCACTTCTTTCTTGTGATGTTAGACAAGGAAGTAAATATTAAGACAAGAGAAAGCAGTATCTGTGGGGTTTCACATCAGTGTCTCTATTTTCTCTTTGGAGTAAGAGGTTTTCATGGTGTCTTAGTCTGTTTGGGCGGCTATAACAAAATACTTTATAGAGTGGGTAATTCATAAACAAGAGATATTTATTTCTCAGAGTTCTGGAGGCTGAGAAGTCCATGATCCAGGCACCAGCAGATTCAGTGTCTGGCAAGGGCTTGCTCCTCTTAGATAGCACCTCCTGTGTATCCTCACACAGTGGGAAGGGGTGGAGGGGCTCCCTGGAGCATCTTTTATAAGAACACTAATCCCATTCATGAAGGTTCTTCCTTCAAGGCTTAATCACCTCTTCCTATGGTTTGATATGGTTTGTTTGTTCCCACCAAATCTCATGTTGAAATTTAATCCCTATAGTTTGACGGTGTTGGGAGGCGGGGTCTGGGGGGGGTGTTTGGGTCCTGGGGGCAGATTCCTCATGAATGACTTGGCGCCATTCTTGTGGCAGTGAGGGGTTTATTGCTCCTGTGAAACTGGATTTGTTCTGGAGGGAATGGATTAGTTCCCTCAAGAGTGGGTTGTTGTAAAGCCAGGATGTCCCTCGGGTTTGGTCCCTCTTCCCCTTTGACCTTCCCTGCCATGTTTTGACACAGTATGGAAGCCCTCCACAGAAGCTAAGCAAATGTGCAGCTTGCAGAACTGTGAGCCAAATAAACCTCTTTATAAATCACCCAGCCTCAGGTACTCCTTTGTGGCAACACAAAATGGACTAAGACATCTGGTAAAGGCTCCACCTCTTAATACTATCACACTGAGTACAGCACTTCCACCTCATCTGTGGGAGATACGTTCCAAGACGTCCAGTGGATGCCCAAAATTGTGGATAGTACCAAACCCCATATATACTATGGTTTTTCTTCCCCCATATGTACATCTCTATGATAAAGTTTAATTATAAATTAGCACAGTAAGAGATTAACAACAATAACTACTAATGAAATAGAACAATTGTGGCCAGGCGTGGTGGTTCACACCTGTAATCCCAGCACTTTGGGAGGCCGAGGCAGGTGGATCACAAGGTCAGGAGATCGAGACCATCCTGGCCAACATGGTGAAATCCTGTTTCTACTAAAATACAAAAAATTAGTCCAGCGTGGTGGTGTGCGTTTATAGTCTTAGCTACTCGGGAGGCTGAGGCAGCAGAATCGCTTGAACCGGGGAGGCAGAGATTGCAGTGAGCCAAGATTGTGCCACTGCACTCCAGCCTGGTGACAGAGTGAGACTCTGTCTCAAAAAAAAAAAAAAAAAATTGTAACAATATGCTGGCATCACTATTCTTGCTCTTTGGGGCTATTCTTAAGTAAAATAACGGTTACTTGAACACAAATACTGATAGTCGATCTGATAACCAAAATGGCAATTAAGTCACAAACTGGCAAGGAGTGTCTACAGCGTGGATACCCTGGACAAAAGGATGATTTGTGAATCCTGGGTGGGATGGTGTGAGATTTCGTCATGCTACTCAGAACAGCACACAATTTAAAACGTTAATTTTGTATTTCTGGAATTTTCCATTTAATATTTTTGGACCTCAGTTGACTGTAGGTAACTGAAACTGTAGAAAGTGAAACCGCAGATAAGAGGGGGGACTACTGTACTAGGTTCTAACATATGAATCTTGATCATCATTCAGACCATACCACATGGTCTTCTGGGTGTGAGGGTAAGCAGATGAGTGAGAATTTAGGCTAAATGGGGACGGTTTGAAATAGCCGCTGGGCATTGAGGAAGGCAGCTGATTAGGACAAATATGGAGACGGTGAACTTGGGCTTGTAGCCTTGTGGTATTTTGGCTGGGGAACAGAGGGATTTCTGAAACCTATTCTTGATCATGGTCACCTGTCACCATGAGGGAGATATATGCCCAAAGAACAATGGCAAGTGGGGGTCAAAATCTGAATTTCTATCTTGTCAGTTCTGTCTCTGGCCCCAAATCCTATAGTATGGAATTCTGGTAAATTCTGCTGTGTTACCTTCCAAATGTTCTCTTCTTCCTCAGCTTGTAAGGCCTAAGAGCCTCAGACTAAAGCGAGCCTCGATGCTTGCTCTGTTCATTTCATCCATCACATCTAGCCCCATAACCTAACTGCCTCTCAACTTTACCACTGTGATGGGAGGAGAGGACATCCAGACACACCTGTGATAATCCAAGGGCATGGAGACAGAGAAAAGAAGACAGCAAGAGAATGCACATTCCCTCTCAGCATCAGCACTGATTTGCTTAAGATGATGCTGTTAGTAGCACCAGGCCTGGCAGCCATCAGCTAGGGAAGCAATAGCTTTCAAAGGAAAATTAACGAAACATCCCAGTCTACTCTCCTAACGTTTAGCCTTTGGGAAAGGGAGAGAGGGAGGAAAGGAGGGAAAGAGAGAGATGAAGATGTATCCTGATCTCTCCAACCTGAGAATTCCTCTCCACTCCAGCAGTACAGAAGGGGAGGGCAGAAGAGACAGCCACACCACACACACTCACTATTATTATTTCATAGATGATTTCATTAAGTAGTAAAGAGGTGCGATCAGAGTCTTGGTGTTTAATCAGTCAGATACTTGGAGAGGAATAAAAAATCTTGCCTTCAGTGATCCTTGGATTAGAAGTGACAAGGTAGACTGGCGCTCCCCCTGCAGGACAGTGAGCAACACTGATCCCTTGTCCTCTGCTCCAAAACAGGATGTGTGGCAGGTTCCTGTGGCGGCTGCTGGCGGAGGAGAGCCGGCACTCTACCACCGTGGGGCGCCTCCTGCTTCCCGTGCTCCTGGGATTCCGCCTTGTGCTGCTGGCTGCCAGTGGGCCTGGAGTCTATGGCGATGAGCAGAGTGAATTCGTGTGTCACACTCAGCAACCGGGCTGCAAGGCCGCCTGCTTTGATGCCTTCCACCCCCTCTCCCCGCTGCGTTTCTGGGTCTTCCAGGTCATCTTGGTGGCTGTACCCAGCGTCCTCTACATGGGTTTCACTCTGTATCACGTGATCTGGCACTGGGAATTATCAGGAAAGGGGAAGGAGGAGGAGACCCTGATCCAGGGAGGGGAGGGCAACACAGATGTCCCAGGGGCTGGAAGCCTCAGGCTGCTCTGGGCTTATGTGGCTCAGCTCGGGGCTCGGCTTGTCCTGGAGGGGACAGCCCTGGGGTTGCAGTACCACTTGTATGGGTTCCAGATGCCCAGCTCCTTTGCATGTCGCCGAGAGCCTTGCCTTGGTAGTATAACCTGCCATCTGTCCCGCCCCTCTGAGAAGACCATTTTCCTGAAGACTATGTTTGGAGTCAGTGGGTTCTGTCTCTTGTTTACTTTTCTGGAACTTGTGCTTCTGGGTTTGGGGAGATGGTGGAGGACCTGGAAGCACAAACCTTCCTCTTCTAAATACTTCCCAACTTCAGAGAGCACCAGAAGACACAAGGAAGCAACCGATAGCCTCCCAGTGGTGGAAACCAAAGAGCAGTTTCAAGAGGCAGGTGAGAAGGACACCCTCTCTTCCTGTCACTGATGTCTGTGTCCTGATGATCTCCTCCCGGGGCAGGTCCCTCACCTTTCTGGGAAGTACAACTTCTGCATGTTACAAAGTAGGTAACCAGGTTCTAGGCACATGTGTTCTGACCGCCACTCCCAACCTTTTTCTTTGTTCTCTCTTGCTCTCAAAATCTATCCCAATGTCCATCCCCATCAACTTGATGGTTCCTTCCAGTGAGCAAGGAACCATCCGTTGTCCCTCCTGAACGTCCATTTAGGTCTCTCTCCACTTAGGAAAAATCTCAGCTTCTTTCTCGATTCTCTACTTTGCAGAGTTATAAAGACACCCAGCTTGCCTGAAGGAAACCCTACGATTGAATCTTCTTCCCAACATCCAGTGAGTGGGGATTCATGTCTGTGACAAATTAGAGGCTGTTGAAGGATCTCTAAGGGCCCCGTGGGCCATGTAGTCTAAAGCATTTCCTGACTGTGCCTTTTCACTGGAATTTTCTGGTGTCAGCATCACAATTTTTATGGGCTTGGTTCAAGAGTCAGCCAGCAGAAGCCTCCCTGAACTGTGTCTCTCCTCTGCCCTGCTTAATAAATATTGATGAGTATTCCTCATTCTGTTTTTCCTTTTTTCTGTTTTTCCACATTCTCTGCTCCCCTTATCATCAAAGTTTTGTAAATGAATGCCCTTCAGACCTGCAGCATATGTCATAAGCCAGAAACTCTGGGCTTCAAGCATATGTAAGTCAGTGTCCTTTAATATCTAGAGATTTATTCAAATGCCCAGCCATATCCTTAAGGAAGATTACCGTGAATTCAGGGGCTTAGGCCCCCTTGATCACTGATAGCTCTGATTTCTGCTCAATTCTCATTCTTCATTTCTGCAGTTCTTGTTGCAGCTGTTAGAATTGTCTCCAGCACAGCAGCAACTCATATGCTGGACCAGGTTCCTACTTTTGAAGTTCATAACCCTCAATGCCACACAGAAAAGGCAGTAGAGTTCTACTGCTCATTTGGGAGTAACAGCAAGGGAGGCTGACATCACAGTGTGATTCGGCAGATAATTGCAATCTGAATATCAGCCTTCTCTAGTCTCTTAAGTCGTTTCTGTTGGACACTGTTCTATCCTTTTTTTTTTCTTTTTCTTTTTCTTCTTCTTCTTCTTTTTTTTTTTTTTAAAACAGAATGCTGCCCCCTTTTCTAGTTTTCTCTTGCCCTGAAATTCTCAACAAAAGCAGTTATCTCTTTTTTTTTTTTTCCTCTTTCTGAATCCCAAGTTATCCCCAAGTAAGTTAGGGGTTCCCAAGAGACGCTTTGGCAGTAACTAGGAAAATTTTTTTTTCTTCCTGCTACACAAGTTCTTCAGAAGAATCCCTCATCCACTGTAGCCAGAGCCCAGCCAAAGTGACCAACGAAAAACACAAATGGCATCATTTGGAATTCTTCCTTATACCACCCCTTTTAAAACAGCTTTATTGAGATATAATTCATACAGCATATAATTTATCCACTTAAAGTGAGGCAGGAGAATAGGGTCTGGAGGCAAGGAACCTAAGGCTATTTCACACCAACTTCCTAGGACAAAACCAAAAGGAAAACCTTAACTTTCTATGCCTAAGTAACAAAAGGACCAGAGGCTACTCCCTTTGCAACCCCCCTCCACAACCTTTTCTGGTGGAAGGAATCACAGCACATGGGAAATTGCCTGTCCCCAACAAATCAGGCTGTTTGCAGATAAGTCTTCCTTTGCAACCTTGTAATTTCACCCTAGCCTCTGATTGGTTGCTTTCTGCAAAGCATGAACTGGCCAATGGGAAACTTCTAGTGGGTATTTAGAGCCAAGAAGATCCTGTATCCGGGCCCTTGAGCCACTACTCGGGTTGCTCCCACACTGTGGAGTGTACTTTGGTTTTCAATAAATCCCTGCTTCATTCTTTCTTTGCTTTGCTAGGCATTTTGTCCAGTTCCTTGTTCAAAATGCCAAGAACCTGAACAACTTGCAGTTATGACCCTCTACCGGAGACAAAAAAAAGTATACAATTAAATAACCTTCAGTATATTCACAGTTGTATATCCATCAACACTACCAATTTAATAACATTTTCATCATCTTAAAAAAACCCTACCCCCTGTTACTCTCAACCTCTTATTGTCACCCAAAATATGCAACCATCATATGGTTTTGTCTCTATTGGTTTTCCTACTCTTTCATACAAATGGAATCATGCAATATGTCGTCTTTCATGTCTGACTTCTTTCACTGAGCATAACTTGAGGTTCATTCATGTTGTGGCATGTTTCGGTATTACATTCCTTTATATGGTTCAATGTTATTCCATTGTTAGGATATACCACATTTTGTTTTAGGAGAGGCCACATTTTGTTCATACACTCTTCAGTTTCTGGACATTTGGGTTGTTTCCATTTTTTGGCTCTTATGACCACCGCTGCTGTGAACATATGTGTGCCACTTTTTTTTTTTTTTGGATGGAGTCTCACTCTGTCACCCAGACTGGAGTGCAGTGGTGTGATCTTGGCTCATTGCAACCTCCACTTCCTGGGTTCAAGAGATTCTCCTGCTTCAGCCTCTTGAGTAGCTGGGACTACAGGTGTGCACCACCACACCCAGCTGATTTTTGTATTTTTTGCAGAGACAGGGTTTTGCCATGTTGGCCACGCTGGTCTCAAACTCCTGACTTCAGGTGATCTGCCTGCCTCAGCCTCCCAAAGTGCTTGGACAACAGTCCTGAACCACCACACCTGGACTCAGTTTTAGTGTTGTGTGAACACATGTTTTCAGTTCTCTTGGATAAATACCCAGGAATAGAATGTTTGGGTCATAAGGAAACTCCACGTTTCAACTTTTGAGGAACTGACAAACTGTTTTCCACAGCAGCTGCACTATTTTTACATTCCTGTCAGCAATGTGGGTACACTTTTTATTTATCTATTAAATTCTAGCCATCCTAGTGGGTGTGAAGTGGTATCTCATTGTAGTTTTGATTTGCACTTGCCTAATGGCTAATGACATTGAACATTTTCCATGTGCTTAGTGGTTATTTGTATATCTTCTTTGGAGAAATGTCTATTCAAATCCTTTCCCCATTTATAAATAGGGCTTGTTTTTGATATTTTTGTTGTTGCATTGTAAGAGCTCTTTATATATTCTGGGTATTAGATACTTATCGTATGTATGATTTCCAAATATTTTCTCCCATTCTATGATTGTCTTTCACTTTCTTGATAGTGATGCACAAAAGTTTTAAATTTTGATGAAGTCTAATATCCATTTTTTCTTTTGTTGCTTATGATTTTTGTGTACTACCTAAGAAACGATTGCCTAATTCACAGCCATAAAGATTTATGCCTATGTTTCCATAAGAGTTTTATAGTTTCAGCTTTTACATTTAGGTCTCTGGTTGGTTTTGAGTTAGTTTTTGTGTATGGTGTAAGATAAATGTCAAACTTTATCTTTTGCATGTGGATATTCAGTTGTCTCAGCATTATTTCTTTTTTAAAAACTTTTTTTATTTTAATAGGCACATAGTAGGTTATATATTTATGGGGTATACAAGGTATTTTGATACAGGTATGCAATGTGTAATAATCACATCAGGTTAAATGGGGTATCTATCACCTCAAGCCTTTAGCCTCTGTTATAAACAATCCAATTATACTAGCTATTTTATAATGTGCAATTATTTTTGACTATAATCACCCTGTTGTGCTATCAACTACTAATTCTTATTCATTCTTTCTATTTTTTGTACCCATTAACCATCTCCACTTTCCCCCCCTACCCTTCCCATCCTTGGTAATCATCAAAGAAGATATATAGATAATAAGAAAGCATATGAAAAGATGTTTAACATCATTTATCATTAGAGAAATGCGAATTATTGACGTTAGGGTTAGGGAAGAGAAATACAAGATAATACTGGAGAATTTTGTAGCGGTAGAAAAGAAAGAAAGTGCTACTACCTCTTCCCCACAAAATGACAGGAATTCGTCAAAGGGACACAGGTGTCAACTGAAAAAGCTCCCAGTGGCCTACACAGGAATAATCTCAGCAGTAAAATAAACAACATAGTATTGGATTATAACCCAAAGTATAAAACAAGAATCAATGAGTTCATAATATAAATAATAGGAGATAACTGACAAATTTCTCATACAGAAGAATGTAGATACTCCACCGCAAGGAGGTGAAATATAACTACTCACTTTTTTTTTTTTTTCATTTGAGATGCAGTTTTGCTCTTGTCACCCAGGCTGGAGTGCAATGGCAGGATCACTGCAATCTCTGCCTCCCAGGTTCAAGCAGTTTTCCTGCCTCAGCCTCCTGAGTAGCTGGGATTACAGGTGTGTGCCACCATGCCTGGCTAATTTTTGTGTTTTTAGTAGAGACGGGGTTTCACCACGTTGGCCAGGCTGGTCTCGAACTCCTGACCTCAGGTGATCCACCTATCTCAGCCTCCCAAAGTGCTGGGATTACAGGTGTGAGCCACCGTGCCCACCAGCTACTCCCTTTTTAGGCATGGGCTGCACATAGTGACTTCCTGCTAAACAGTAAAATAAGGGGAAAGGGGGAAGAATAACTTTATAGGCAAGAAACCCGTCAAATACTACCTCAGCTGGGTGATCAAGGTGATTGCTTAACATCAACAGTGATAAGCAATATTGACAGCATGTACCCTGGATATGATGTGATGATGGTTTTTGTTATTTTCCTGTTCTAAAATTTCCATGGGGCTATTCTTTATATTTTCTATTACTTCTCTGAGACTTTTTAACTTTCCATTTGAATAGCTGCTTTATAGTCTTGATAATTTCAACATGTGTGGCAACTTACATTCTGCATCTGTTACTTTTTTATCCAACGTGAGTTGGGATTTTCCTGGTTCTTCACATGCCAATTAATTTCGATTGTATCCTGGACATTTTGAATGTAATTAGGATGCTCTGGGTCTTGGTTAAGTTTGGTGAAGGATCTTGATATTTATGTTTTAAAAGGTAATTAACCCATTTGGGTTCAAGTCATAAGTTTTGACCAGCCTTCTGAGGGTTGTGGTTCCAATGTCAGTTCAGTTTTCAAAGCCTTTGTAGTACTCTTCCGACAGGTCCCACATGAGTGCCACCTAAAGTGTAACCCAGGGTCCTTGGGTTTTTGGGTATGCATGGTGAAAAAGTTACCCACTTGTAACTGTTATATCTTGAATTTTTGTTTTAAAAAGTTCCAGGAAGAAGCTCAGCCCAGGAAAAACAAAGACCAGTTGGACCCAGAGATGCCTGAGTTGGAGATGAACTTTGGCCAACTTTCCTCATCACTATACTAAAAATCCTGCCCAAGGAGGAGCTTAACCATTTTCTATACATGTGACATATGTAGAAGCATGACCGACAACTGGGACTGCGCTGCCTTGACTCCACCTGTACATACAGTGACTCAGCTAACCAGACTAATAAAAGCCATGTTTGCACCGTTGCTCAGGGAGGCAATGCTTTGGGGAATTATTCCCAGTGTCCTCCTTACTTATTGCAAGTAATAAAATCCCCCTGGGAAATCCTCCTTGGTTGTGATCATTGGACTTTCACCTGCCAAGCAATTTAACCCATTCATTGTGTGGGTAATGAAAGGCCAGTCTGGGACATGAGAACTGGGCCCATAGTTTAGTTCTCAAAGTCTTTGGCATGCAATTTAGGATGAGATTCATCATACCTAAAAAGGGAGATAGTCTCAACAGAATTCTAAAATTACTTAAACATCAGAGGCAGTGTAGAGAAGGCGTACTTGGTGGTATGGTAGGTTTTCTGACAGGAAACAAAAGATGGAGGTAAAATGGAACCAGTCCTTTCTTTCTGAGAATACTGCAACATTGACCATAGCATGAAGCCAAGGCTATATGGTGAATAAGCTCCTCCTTGGGCAGGATTTTTAGTATAGTGATGAGGAAAGTTGACCAAAGTTCCTCTCTCTGAAGTAAGAAATGTAATAAAGGAAACTTTCAGAAATAATAGATCATCTGGAGATGTTGGGCAGTGTATTTGGTAAGTTATAACTACCAGGTATCAATACAATAAGCTTAGTTTGAATACAATAAACTTAGTTTCTTTTTAAAGAATTTATCCTGCTCAATGTGTTCTCTGAGATCCTTGGATTGGTTTGGTGTCTCACAGATTTTGGAAATTCTCAGCCATTATTTCTTGATTTGATATTGATATTTTCCCATCAGTCTTGGATGCTGTGTTCTGTTTCTGTGACTCTTTTTTTTGTGTGTGTGTTTCAGGAATTTCTATTTACCTACCTTCAAGTTTGATGTTTTCCTCAACTGTGTTGAGTCTCCTAATGGGCCTATGGAAGGCATTCTTCAACTCTATATAATTTTTTTTTTTTTTTTTGAGATGGAGTCTTGCTCTGTAGCCCAGGCTGGAGTGCAGTGGTGCAATCTTGGCTCACTGCAAGCTCCACCTCTCGGGTTCATGCCATTCTCCTGCCTCAGCCTCCCAAGTAGCTGGGACTACAGGCGCCCACCAACACGGCTGGCTAATTTTTTTGTATTTTTAGTAAAGACGGGGTTTCACCGTGTTAACCAGGATGGTCTTGATCTCCTGACCTAGTGATCTGCCTGTCTCAGCCTCCCAAAGTGCTAGGATTACAGGCGTGAGCCACCGTGCCTGGCCTTATATTATTTTTATAGTTTCCATTTTATTTTTCCTTATAATTTCTATCTATTTGCTAAAATCACCCATCTGAGCTTGCATTTTGTTTAACTTTCCCCTTAGGGCCTTCATCACATTAATCATAGTTATTTAAAATTATCTGACAGTTCTAATGTCTATGTCTTATGAGTCTGGTTCTAATGATTGTTTTCTCTTTGAACTGTGTTTTTTTCTTGCCTTTCCATATGTGTCTTTTCTTCTTTCTGTTAAAAGTTGGACATGTTATATATTTTTTTGCTTATTTTTTCAATTCCCTCTTCATAGTATGAAGTAAAAAAAATTTTTTTTATGCTTGGAGATGAGTGTGTCTTTCCTTCTGCTAGGACTTTAGTGCTCTTGAGTGCATAGCGGTGGTTTGGTGGTATCAATCTAGTCAGAAATTGGGCTGGGTTTACAGTTTGTTGTTGTGGTTATCCTCAGTGCACAAGAGACTTCAAATTTCTCCAGAGATAGCTTATGTGTAGGGTGTGGGCTTTATTTTGAAAGTATGTTTTAAGGAGGGCTGTATTTATGTCAACTCGACACAGAGTGGACAGTGGTAATTTTGTAATATCTCAACTTTGCTAAGCTAAACTATGTTTCCCAGAATTTCCTTTCCTTTTGTTTCTGGTTAGAATAGCCCGGAAAAGACATGGTTGTGTAAGTCCTGAAGGGCAGAACCGAAGCATCCCTCCAGTTTTATAGTTGAAACGGTGGTGCAGGGACACTAGGTGCTACTGCAGCTCATGCACTTTGTCACCAATCAGCTGGTTCTCCTTGTTGGGATGGGGCAGAAGCCTTCCCCTGAGTCATCTTCAGCTTTTTTGATTCCTGAGCCATGTGTGTGTCTAGTCCTGTGGCAAAGAGTGTCAGCTCCTCTAGCAAGGATACTCGTATCTTTAAAGTTGGAGACAGTGAAAGAATGACCAACTCGTGTCTTAGGTTACAATTCATTCTTGCTCTTCCCTACTTTATGTTCATCTTCCCTTCTTAATTGCTTGCCCTGTGAACATAAAGAAACATAGTGATTCCACTTCTCTGACTGAACCTTGGCTGGTACACAGACTTATAGACATTTTGTGATGGAGAAAAATTGTGAATTAGGGAGACTCACTAAAGAAGGAAGGTAATCTCTGGTATGGCAAGAATGAAGACATAAGGATTTTAAGGAATTTACCTGAAAATATTTAAATGACCACAGTAAGGGGAATAAATACTTTGCAGGAATGCTGAAACTTCTCATCCAATACTTAGGTAGACATACAGACACACAGATGCCATAAACACTCATGGTAAATATCAGTAACTGTTAAGAGCATTCCTTCCTGCTTGGTCCCTATTAAAGAACCAGATTCCTTCTCCACAGAGTATTCCAATTTACAAAGAAAATCCATTCATTAGTTGTCTAATTTAAATTGTTTTAGAAATATTCAGTAGAACTTTTAGCAATAACCCTAAAACAGATATCTCAAGAACCCCTTTTTCTAATCACTTAATCATATACTTACTGAGAAAAATTATTATGGGAAAGGCAGTATTTGATATTGGGACATAAGAAGAATGAAAATTCTGTAAAAAAGCAAAAGGCCATTAGCCTGAGGCTGTCTTGGTACTTGAGTTCTTATATAACAAAATACAACGTGACTTAGTATGTAAACGAACTGAAGTCTGACTTACTCTCTCTCTATATATATATGTATTTTTTTTTTTTTTTTGAGACAGAGTCTTGCTCTGTTGCCCAGGCTGGAGTGCAGTGGCGCAATCTCGGCTCACTGCAAGCTCTGCCTCCTGGGTCCACACCATTCTCCTGCTTCAGCCTCCAGAGTAGCTGGGACTACAGGCACCTGCCACCATGCCTGGCTAATTTTTTGCATTTTTAGTAGAGACAGGGTTTCACCGTGTTAGCCAGGATGGTCTCGATCTCCTGACTTTGTGATCCGCCTGCCTCCGCCTCCCAAAGTGCTGGGATTACAGGCGTGAGCCACCATGCCCGACCAACTTACTATATTTTTATAGCAAATAGCTGGGTTTCAGCCAATCACAGCCAACCTTCAGCCAATAACAGACAACCAACTGATCAGACCATACCCCAATAAGGCAAATGCCTCATCATATCATTGCGAAATAAGGCAGACACCTAGATGTTAACTAATCAGGTGATTTCTCTACTTTGCTTCCTACAAAAGCTAGTAGCTCATACTGCTGGGCAGAGCTCTCTGAACCTCTTTTGGTTCTGAGAGCTGCCCAATTCATGAATTGTTCTTTGTGCAAATAACTTCTACTAAATTTGTCAGTCCAGAGTTTTTATCTTTTTTTTAAACAAATATCATTCACAAGAAAAGGAAGAAAATGGGAAGAATAAAAAGCAAAGCACCTCAGAAACACAAGATCAAAAATCCACTTAAGGGATATAGATAATTCCCTGAAACAGGCAAGCATATTATTTGTTGAAAGCCTCCATGGATGTTCTTTGGGATAGCAAAATGGTTGCTACTTTTCAAATTGGATACCAAAAAGGCAATATATCTGCATCTCTGAATCCAAATCATCCCCACGTTAGCCAAACTCCAGGCCTACCAACACAGATCCTTCAAGCGTTCCTGGCATTCCAGGCCCCTAGGCTGCAGCTCGCCCAGAACTCCTGGGACTCTAGAAGTTAAATCGGTCTAACTAGCAGACAAACACAGACCTGAACGCTCAAACTTGGAAAGAAAGGCCAAAATTAGAGGCACCTCCCCGGTCGGCTCCACCAGGGGTCACAACGTCCAGCCCTAATGCCTTGCCCAAGTCCTCTCTAGCCTTCCACGGGCATTTCTGGGTCTCTATACCTGTTTGGAGGAGCCGCTCAACGGTTCCGTCCTGCCCCGCGCCTAGGCCTGGGCCAACCCTCGCGCGCTTCCGGCGCGGAGACCCAGCAGCTTCCGGTCTTGCGCGCTCAGGCCGGGCAATGTGCGCGCGTTGCTTTTGGGTCCTGAACCCCGGAAGAGACACTGCGCAGTACCCTCTTACGTGAGGCGGTGGCGGTGGTTCGGGAGTCGTCTGGTCTCCCCGCGGCCGTTCGCAGCTTGCTGGCCTCTCCCTCGCCTCACGTCGGACTGCGGCTCCGCGGCAGGGAAGCAGCATGGAAGCTGAGGACCTCCAGGAGGAGTTGACCTGCCCCATCTGCCTGGAGTATTTCCAGGACCCGGTGTCCATCGAGTGCGGCCACAACTTTTGCCGCGGCTGCCTGCACCGCAGTTGGGCGCCGGGCGGAGGCCCGTTCCCCTGCCCCGAATGCCGGCACCCATCGGCGCCCGCTGCGCTGCGACCCAACTGGGCCCTGGCCAGGCTGACGGAGAAGACGCGGCGCCGGCGCCTGGGCCCAGTGCCCCCGGGCCTTTGCAGCCGCCACTGGGAGCCGCTGCGGCTCTTCTGCGAGGACGACCAGCGACCCGTGTGCCTGGTATGCAGGGAGTCCCAGGAGCACCAGACCCACGCCATGGCGCCCATCGACGAGGCCTTCGAGAGCTACCGGGTGAGCTGGCTGTCGCGGTGACGATGACGGGGCTGCCAGTATTGCCCAATAAAGTTTACTTAATTCTCCTGAAAGAGCCACGAAGTGGCCGTCATTCCTATTGGATGGCATGAAAAGCCCCTGAAACTCAGAGAAGTTAAGCAACACACAAATTTCAGAGCTGAGGTTAAAACTGGAATGAGAGGAGGGGAGGTGCAAATCCCTCAGCAATCATTGTGTAGAATTTTCAAGAAACTGGCCCTTGGGGAGCTCCTAATAAAGAAAAACATACTGAGAGGGTGTATGCCGCTGCTGTCCAATAGAAACCACATATGTAATTTAAAATCTTTCTAGTAAGATAAGGAAACGAGGTGACGTTAATTTTAATAATATATTTTATTTAATCTGATTACCCCAAATATTCAAAGTTGGGATGAAAATTATCAATGAGTTTTTTTTTTTTTTTTTTTTTGAAACTGGAGTCTCAACTTTGTTGCCCAGGCTGGAGCACAGTGGTGCGATCTTGGCTCACTGCTGCATCCGCCTCCGGGTTTCAAGCAATTCTCCTGTCTCAGCCTCCCGAGTAGCTGGGATTAGAGGCACACTCCACCACACCCGGTTAATTTTTGTTTTTTTAGTAGAGAGGGGTTTCACCATGTTGGCCAGGCTGATCTCGAACTCCTGACCTCAAGTGATCCGCCCGGCTTGGCCTCCCATAGTGCTGAGATTATAGGTGTAAGCCACTGTGCCCGGCCTCAATGAGATATTTTATACTCCTTTTTCATAATAGGCCTGAAATTGGTCTGTATTTTACGTTTTCAACACATAGCAGTTTGGAATATCCACATTTCAAGTGCTTGTATGGCTAAATGGATACTGCATTGGACAGTGCCTGTCTGTATCTGTGAATGTCATAGACAACTGATGATTTGGGAAAAGCCTGGCTTGTAATGATGAGCCTGGCTTATTACTAGCTTCGTTCATCAGTTGGGAAAATCATGTAACATTTGAATTTGGGGATTATCTGTCCTATCTATCTCATGGGTTAAGAAGCTTCAGTTAAATAAGTCACTTTACCTTACTCTGCTTCAGCCATACTGGCTTTCTTGCTTTTGTTTCAAGTCTGTTCTCTTTCTCTACCCACATCTATCCTTTAGATCCTTTTAGCTTTTAGCTCGAAGACCTTCCCTGATCATCCTTTCCAGAGTAGCCCCACCCCCTCCCATTACTGATGGTGTAACTCCAGTGGTCTCCAGCAGAATTGATATGCAGTAAGTACATGAACACACAAATTTATTTATTTATTTTATTATTATTGTTTTTGAGATGGAGTTTCGCTCTTGTTACCCAGGCTGGAGTGCAGTGGTGTGATCTCAACTCACTGCAACCTCTGCCTCCCAGGTTCAAGTGATTCTCCTGCCTCAGCCTCCCGAGTAGCTGGGATTACAGGCACCCGCCACCATGCCCGGCTAATTTTGTATTTTTAGTAAAGATGGGGTTTCACTATGTTGGTCAGGCTGGTCTCAAACTCCTGACCTCAGGTGATCCACCCACCTTGGCCTCCCGAAGTGCTGGGATTATAGGCATGAGCCACCTTGCCTGGCCAAACACATGAATTTAATGACATAGTGAAAATGTTTGGAAACTGTAAAATACTGTACAGTTGTACCAGCTGATTATGAACAGGAAACATGCAAAGCTGGACTAGAAAGTGTACCTTCATTCCTTTACTCAGTGACCTTTATTGATGCTTACTATTTGCCAAACATTGTTTTAGCATCTGGACATAAATGGATGAGAAAGACGTGGGCCTTATAAAGAACTTAAGTGTGTAGAACATTAATTTCAGTGTGTGTGTGAGTTGCTGAAGTATTTACCAAGTGTACAGAAGGTCTGAGGTCAGAGTGATCACTGAGGAGTGAGGAAAGGCTCCATTGAGGAGTTGAATGTGTTAGCCCTTGAAGGATGAGTAGAGGTAGGAGAGAGGGTATTTCAGGCCAAAGAAACACCATATTCCAAATGTGGTGGAGTGGAATAGCATGTGATGTGTGAGAGGACTGGAGGTTGCTCAGTACTTCTGGAGCATGGAGCATGGGAGGGAGGATGGTGGGCCGCCAGCTTGAAGAAAAAGGCAGGGCCTTATCACGAAGGATCTTGTTTGCTATAGTAAAAAGATTGAACTTTCTCTTTCAGGCAATGGGGAGTTATTAAAGGGTTTTAAGGCAGGGAATGATATGATCAGTTTTTTTGTTTTAGTCAGATAACTTTGACATCCACGAAGACTAATTAGGCTGCTGTTGTACCATTTTAAGCAGGAGGTAATAAGGACCTGAATTAGTTCGGGGCAGGGATGATGGAGAGGGAGGGATGGAGTGATTATGAGCTGGAGTTGAATGACTTGGTGATCAGTTAGACTTGGTGGGTGCGAGAGAGAGAGGAGTCTTGGATGGTAGTCCAGGTTTCTGCTTCAGATGGCAGGTAGATGACTGTCAGGTTAACCGAGTTCAGGTACACAGGAGGAAGCATAGTCTTAGGACAGAAGATCCCATGCTCGTTGTGGAATGTACTGAGTGTAAAATAACTGTGACAGGAAGTCCAAGGAAGAGGGACAGGAGGTGGGGTGCCTTGGAGGCTAGAGATAATATTTTAGAATCCTCAGCCTATTCTTGAAGTCATGGAAGAAGTAAGAAGATGAGATTCTCCTAGGGGGACCACATAGAGGGTAAAAAAAAAGGCACAAAGAGAAGCTTGGGAAACACCAATGGTTAGTAGCCAGCAAAAGACATAGAGAGGACCCATCAGATAAATGGAAGGGAAAATATACTTGTGGGTGGTGGCTGAGGGAAATATAAGTGTATGGGTATGAAAGGGGAACACAGCGCTTAAATCTTCCATCTTCAGCAATAATAGCTATCAGTTGTTCATTACTTCTTATGTACCACCCACAGTTCTAAGCATTTTTCATATTGTAATTCTTTAATCCTCATAGACATCCTGTTAGGTGGATTCTGTTATCCCCTTTTTGAAGATGAGGCAACTATACCACAGAGATGTGAGGTTACATGCCCCCAAGGTCACAGAGCTAGGAAATGGCTACGCTTGAACTGAGGTCCTCTAACCCCCTAATCCTTTACACTTTTCACTCTGCCACAACTAATCTGAGAAGTCTTCTTAGAAGAGATGGGATTTCAGGATTAAATACAAGGCCCAACAGGACAGGAGTGGATGGGTAAGGGTTACACTGGGATGAGCTGAATGTCACAAGATTGATTGGGTAGGTGTTCAGGAGCCAGGTCACTGGGCAGAATTCCCTAATACCCACCCATCTCTCTATCATCCTCTGCTTAGTCACTGCCCTATTCAACCACCTTTCATTCCATCCCCACCCCAAGTTAGTTAGAAAAACATACACTGCCCCTGGATAAAGCTGCCCTATTTCCAAGCATCCCATTCTCAGCATATACTCAGATGGATGGACTATGTTTTAAAAGTTGGACAGCTGGAAGTTGCCTAAATCCATGGAAAATATCCCCATCCTATACCCGTTTTGATGAGGGGAGAAAAAGAGAAGGACAAATAGCTTCATAAATCTCTGGATGCAAATGGTTTGCATGGAAAAGGCCTCTAAGCGCAGCTCTTTTTTCCTTCATGCCTGACTCTAGGAGCTAATCCCTCCATTCTGTTAATTAATTTAAGATGTTTCTTGAGCACTGGTTTTGTGTCAGATGCTGTGGCACTGCACCAGAGGCAGCGCTGGGAATCCAGTGGTGAACAAGACAGGTAAAGGCTTTCCATGGAGCTCACAGTCCAGTTGGGCTGAGGGTGGGAGGTAGACGACAGACAGACAAATAAATGAAACAATCACAGATGGTGATGGCTTGCTGGGAAAGAAAAAGAAAGTGCCATCCCAGGCCAGGCGCGGTGGCTCACGCCTGTAATCCCAGCACTTTGGGAGGCTGAGGCACAAGGATCACTTGAGGTCAGGAGTTTGAGACCAGCCTGGCCAACATGGTGAAGCCCTGTCTTTACTAAAAATACAAAAATCAGCTAGGTGCGGCAGTGGTTGCCTGTAATCCCAGCTAGTCGGGAGGCTGAGGCAGGAGAATTGCTTGAATCTGGGAGGCAGAGGTTGCAGTGAGCTGAGATCATGTCACTGCACTTCAGCCTGGGTAACAAAGCAAGACTCTATCTCAAAAAAAAAAAAAAAAAAAAAAAAAAAACCAGAAAGAAAGTGCTATGCCAAAGGGTTTCAATCAGGTGAGCAGTTTTCTCTTAGGAGGTGACATTGCAGCTGAAACTTGCTGGATGCGGAGTCTGCCGTCTGAGGAACCGTGGGAAGAGGCCCTGAGGCTGGGGAGAGCTGGATATGTTTATGGGACAGGGAGAAGGTCTTTGCGCCTGGAGGACCAGGAGCAAGGGGAAAGGTGGCATGAGATGTGACACGAGATGTAGGCAGTGGTCAGCTTATGTTGGGCCACAATGAAGTGTTCAAATTTTCTTGGTGAAGAGGAAAGCCAGTGAAGAATCTTGAGCAGGAGAGTGACAATATCTGATTATTTTTTAGAAAAGTTATTCTAAGACCAGGTGTGGTGGCTCATGCCTGTGATCCCAGCACTTTGGGAGGCAGAGGCAGGAGGATCATTTGAGTCCAGGAGTTCAACACCAGCCTAGGCAACTGTGAGATCCCATCTCTACAAAAAATACAAAAATTAGCTGGATGTGGTGATGCACATCTGTTAGTCCCAGCTACTCGGGAGGCTGAGGCTAGAGGATCGCTTGCACTCAGGAGTTTGAGGCTGCAGTGAGCTATAATGGTGTCACTGCAGCTGCCTTGTGGATATTGTATGAGAGAAGAACATGACTGTAAGTAGGGAGAGCAGTCGGGAGGTTATTGTAATTCAGACAAAAGACGATGGTGACTTAAGCTAGTGGTGGCAGTGGGGTTGGCACGCAGGTAGAGTTGAGGTGTATTTCCGAGGTAGACCTACCAGCTTGGATCGATTGCAAAAGTTACAGTGACTGAAATTCATAGAACTCAGGAGCTGGGATGGTATTTAAAAGACATTTAGTCCAATTGTCTTCATTTCATAGGTAAGGAAGCTTTGATCCAGGAAATAAGTGAGGCTGACTTGCTCACAGACGTACAGCTGGTTTGAAGGTCTAGAGTGAAACTAAGATCTTTGGAAGTTTAATGTTATCTGAGCTACATGATCACAAGTCAGTAAATGTCTTCATTCTATAAAAGTATGCTCTTTTATTATACTTGTGTTTTCATATAGGTACAATTTTCTGGTGCTAAATGAAGAGAAAATGGTTTTTAAAAAAATATTATATTTATTTATTTATTTATTTATTTATTTTTCTGAGATAGAGTCTCACTCTGTTGCCCAGACTGGAGTGCAGTGGCGCGATCTCGGCTCATTGCAACCTCCACCTCCTGGATTCAAGCGATTTTCCTGCCTCAGCTTCCTGAGTAGCTGGGATTACAGGCGTGTGCCACCATGCCCGGCTAATTTTTTTTTTGTATTTTTAATAGAGATGGGGTTTCACCATGTTGGTCAGGCTGCTCTGGAACTCCTGACCTCGTGATCTGCCCACCTTGGCCTCCCAAAGTGCTGGGATTACAGGCGTGAGCCACCGCGCCCGGCAAATTTCTGGTATTTCTAACCCGGATTGAAATGCTTGGTGTTGCACTCCTGCCACCTCCTGGCAGTTTCTGTTGTTGCAGGGAAGGTGTTTTGTAATTTCCCCCAAGGTTGTCAAGTTAACTCTCTCATATGAGAGAATTCATGCATAATGACTTGTTAAGTCTTTTTAAGACATAGAAAATCTCTATTTAGTAGATTATTATTTTTTCATTATCAAGCAAAAGTGAAAACTTTCAAAAAAGCTTGGTCCTATTTGAAGGAGCGCATATATATATATCATTACAAACCTCATGTACATCAAATTTGACAGTGACCACAAAGTGGCAGTTTTAATTGAATAAAGAAGTGAAATTATATGAGAGAGTAGCAGGGTTATGTGCCTATTAAAGCTAACCACTAGAGATAGTAAATGATTTGTATAATGTTAAGAAACATCATGGTAGAAACAAAATAGCACAGATGGTATTGTGCCATTTAGCGGAACTGTATAAATCCCTTTTATAATTTAATTTTATGTTTTCCTATTTCATTTTACCATGAAAATTTCAAGCATACATCAAAGTTGGAAGAATTTTGTAATAACACCAGTGTACCCACATCTATATTCTACCATTAACATTTGACTGTTTTATCACACCGCTGTCCATTTTTCTGTATCTCTGAATACATCAATTCTTATCTTATCTTGTTTTGATGCCTTTAAAATTCAATTGCAAACAAAATACTTTAGCAGGTATATCATTAATCAGATTTAACTTTTGTTTATGTTTTTTTTTTTTTTTTTTAATATGTGGAGTCTCATTCTGTTATGTAGGTTGGAGTGCAGTGGTATGATCTCGGCTCACTGCAGCCTTTGCCTCTGGGTTCAAGCTATTCTCATGCCTCAGCCTCCCAAGTAGCTGGATTACAGGCTTGTGCCACCACACCTGGCTATTTCTTTTGTATTTTAGTAAAGACAGGATTTTACCATGTTGGCCAGGCTGATCTCGAACTCTTGGCCTCAAGCGATCCACCTGCCTTGGCCTCCCAAAATGCTGGGGTGAGCCACTGCGCCTGGTCTATGGTATTTTTTGAGGTAAAATTTAATACAATGAAAAACACAAATCTTAGTTGTACATTTGCTGAGTTTTGACAAATGCCCTTCTCAAGATAAAGGATATTACCATCCAGAGAATTCCTTCATGCCCTTTCCCAGTTATTCTCTTCCCCCTTCCCCTACCAGGGCAACCACCATTCTGATTTTTTTTTCAAACACAAATTAGGTTTTGCCTGTTCCGGAACTTCATATAAATGGAATTGCATTGTCTGTATTCTTGTGTAGGATCCTTTTGCTCAGCATATTGATTTTGAGATTCATCCATTTTGTATAGGTTGGTGCAAATGCAATTGCGGTTTTTGCTATTATTTATCCACCTTCCTATCAGTGAATACCTGGGCTGTTTCCAGCTTCTAGCTATTGTGAATAAAGCTGCAATGAATATTTGCAGTGAATATTCTTGTACAGGTCTATTTATGGGTACATGTTTTCCTTTTTCCTGGATCTAGGAGTAGAATTGCTGTATCCTAGGATTAATGTATGTTTAGTTTTACGCCAAACCTTTTTCCAAAATGGTGGTAGCATTTCATTTGCCTGCTGATGTTGTGTAAGAGTTCCAGTTGCTCCATATCCTTGCCAACTTTGATGTTATCAGCCTTGTCAGTTATTTAACTTGATTTTAATCATTGTCCCTTGTAAATGATTGGATGAAAAGTTATACCTATGAGTAAGAGTTAGTTTTCTAGGGAACAATTTAAAAAGTTGTACAGATTATTTTTTAGTTCTCGTCATTTCTTGTTTTTTCTTTTAGTTTTATTTACATTTTTAAAATTTTATTTTACCATATATTCAGACTTACAGAAAGTTGTCCCAGGCCACCCTCCAGCATTTGACACTATTCCCTAGTTTTGTAGTTTAAATGATCTCTTCCTTCGGCATAGGAGAAACCATTCTCTCTTGGTTTTTCACCAACTGCTCACCTTAGCTTCTTTCCAGGATTTTATTCTCTGCATACGGCTTAAATGCAGTCGTTGCCTTGATCCTCTTACTCTATAGAATCTTACTGGCTGATTTTACGCTCACTCGAGGCTCTAGCTGCCACCTGGGCTTTAATCCCGAAATCTGCTTCTGCAGCATACATCTCCTTCCCAACTCTAATTGCTAACATATCCACTTGGATGTCCTATAGGCATCTCAGACTCGATTTATTTAGGTGAAATTTATTTTCCTTCCTCCCATTTACACACTGCTCATCTTCCTATATTTTCTAATTTGATAAATAACCTACAGTCCATCCAGTTACTTAAACCAGAACCGAGGGGCTAAATCTGGACCTTTTCCTCCTGCAGCCATTTGGTCATCAGTTCCTGTGGGTTTTTCTCTTGTGTGTTTCTCTAACCTTTCTGCTTCCATCTCTGCACTCGCAGCTGGCATTCTGCTATTATTGGGTGCTGCCCCTCAGCCCAATTTGTCAATGTTGATTGACTTGCTTTAGTTTTTAATAACTTACTTGGGTTTTTGAATTACAAAAATGACATATGCCACTTGTAGAAATTAAAGCAAAAATGTATGAAATTTCTAGTACCCCACCTCCAAATTTGTAAGCGATTCTTTTTCCTCGGAAATCACCAATGTTAATACTTGGGTATAAATCCTTCCAGATTTCCCTTGCCTTCACATACAAATACACACACATAGATAAACACATATGCGCATACACACATTTATTCTTTTCAAAACAGAATTATACGATACATATTGTCTTACGGCTTGCTTTCAACTTATTGTGTATTTCATGTCAATATATAGACAGCTACCTGAAATTGATGCAAAGTATCAATATAGCATAATTTATTTAATAATTCCTATTTAGTGGATAATGAATAATGCTATAGTGACCATTTCTTTACATATTGGTTTTTTTTGCTAGTGTTGTGTTGCATAGATTATTAGAAGTAGCATTTTACACATTTAAAATTTTGTTAAATCCTGCCAGTTGTCTATCAAAAAATGGCACCTTTTTGATCTCCTGTGGTGCCAGAGGCCTTCTCCCTGCCAGTAGTAGACATTTGCTAATCTAAGAGTTTTTATTTTTGCTAACTTACCAGGAAAACTCAATATAGTGTTGTGATGATTTCAGACCAGAATAATTCTTATCATAGGCCTGTGTGACCATCTTCAGTATTTTCTCAATCTCATTCTCTGTTTTGATTAGGTGACTTTTAGCTCTTAAAAAGTGAAGTTGCCAGGCGTGGTGGCTCATGCCTGTAATCCCAGCACTTTGGGAGGCTGAGGTGGGAGGATCTGTTGAGCCCAGGAGTTCGAGACCAACCTGGGCGACATAGGGAGACTTTGTCCCTACGAAACATAAAAAAATTAGTTGGACCTGATGGAGCATGCCTGTAGTCCCAGCTATTTGGGAGGCTGAGGTGGGTGGATCACTTGAGCTCAGGAGGCTGAGGCTACAGTAAGCCGTGATCAGGCCACTGCAGTCCAACCTGGGTGACAAAGTGAGACTTTGTCTCAAAAAAAAAAAAAAAAAAAAGAAGAAGATGATGGTTGAAGAGATGTTTTCTTACCCGTGTGTGTTTCTGCTGGCAGGAGAAACTTCTTAAGTCTCAGCGTAATCTCGTGTCCAAAATGAAGAAAGTCATGCATTTACAGGATGTAGAAGTGAAGAACGCTACACAGTGGAAGGTAATAGCAGAAGTGGTTGGATATTTCTTGCTCCTGAGGTCCTTTTGGTCTGGGACATTTCTTGCTCCTGAGGTCCTTTTAGTCATGGGGTTATGCAGTTCACATAGGGTCTTGGATGCCTCAGAAACTCTGTTTCCTCCATATAGTGACTGAAAGAAGAACTTTCTGGGTGTCAGTTCAGTTGTCAGGCCCCTTATAGATTCAGGGATAGGAGAGGAAGTAGCTGTCCCTGCTGCTAGTGGCTTTTGGTGATATGAGTTCCACACACTTCATCCCCATCTCTCTACTTTAAGGTAGCGCCCCTCTCCTTCCTACTTTTTCCTAAATATACTCCCTAGGTTGGAGTTGGTTTGGGCCCATGGCATTGTGGAAGGAAGCAGATGAATGGACTTTGCTTTGGGGGAGGCTAATTGTAGTTGGGAGGTACGCATGTGCACACACACACACACACTCATACTCCTAAAGATTTAACAAAACTCAATGAGCGTTCTGAGGGCTAAACTAAGTAGTAGATGTGCAAGTTTGTTTTAGTTTAAAACTTGTCAGTAGTAGAGACTGAAATGTTAGGAAGAATGAATGAATACTGTAATGACTAGTACAGAGCTATCAAGTAAGTATAAATAAAGGAGTAATGGAAATTTTAGGGGAGTGGACAGGAGCTTTTCAAGAGGGGTTGCTTAGGATTGACTGTGGATTACTGGGGAATTGTGTAAGGAATTTAGTAGCTGGGGTCAGGCAGGAAAAAAGAGTGAACAAATCTCATGTGGCCTTAGGATAAGATAAAGAGTCAGCGAATGAGAATCAGCACAGAGTTTTCAAAGCTGCACAACTTCCTGGTTGAAGAAGAGGACCTGTTTCTTCAGAGACTGAACAAAGAAGAAGAAGAGTCAAAGAAGAAGCTGAATGAGAACACGTTAAAACTCAATCAAATGATCGCTTCATTGAAGAAGCTCATCTTAGAGGTGGGGGAGAAGAGCCAGGCCCCCACCCTGGAGCTGCTTCAGGTGAGACAGTTACGGGCGGGGATGATCTCGTCTTCACTAACTGAACTCCCTCTTGTCTTTAGAGCTGAATATCCTTCCTGGTGAGTGGGTTTCATAGACATGTCTTATCTCTTGCTAGTTCTGTGCTGTCACACAACCAAAAAGCCAAAGATTCACCATTCAAAGGAAATTAATGTGAAACTTAGGTAGGCTGAGCTCAGGTCATATGAGATAAGTTGATTCACATGGTCTCACAGTTCATCTAGGATCTGAGACTTAGCACATGTAAGACTTTTTCATTCATCTTATGTGTACATTTATAATTCTTTATTTAAACGATAAAACAAAGCAAGCATAAAACTCCCAAGTACATAATTGTGTCAATAGTGAAGAGACGCTTATGTTTCTCCCTTGTTTTTAATCATTACAATCACAGCTTGATAAAACTTTGTTCTTATCCCTATATTTTGAGTGGTACTTTCATTCAAATAATTTCCAATGTCTAGCAACCTTTAAAAGATTGTAATTCTAACTCAGCACTTAAGTCTGGGTCTTTAGGCCAGTTTGTTATCAAAAGCCCCTCCTTTGAGTTGATCTTTACCTTTATATCCTCTGTAGTTCTGTAGTTCTGAAGTGTCCTTATAGCTTCTTTTAGTTTTTGGCTAGGGTCCTACATTTGTGACTTTGTTTTTTCTTTTTGCTGAAATAATTCATGCTGAGTCTTGGATGCCTCAGAACCTCTCTCTCCTCCATTTCATGTAAATGAAGATGAAAGGATCTCTAAAAGGTGTTCTCAAGAACATTTTCTGTCTACCATTACTATTTTTTTTTTTTTCATAAGGAAGAGACAACATTCGCTTCTACTCTTAAGGAATTCAGAAACCTGGACCCACCCTCTAGTTCTTATCAATAAGAAATTGCTAGCTAGGTTTTATGTGATAGATATAACCTAACATTTAATATTAAGTGTAATGACTTCCAAGAATTATGTAAAAGTTTTACAACATGCTTAAGCAATGAAGTTCCTAGTACATATCCGAATGTGTGTCATAAAAGAATCTCTGAAATAACACATTTAAAATACAGGCTTAACGTCTACTTAGAATCTGAAACCTCTAAGATACGTGTGAACCAGCAGAATGCTTACAAAAAGTTGTATCAGCAAACAGAAATGCAGAGTTAGGGAAACGATTAAAAAAGATGAAACTGGGGCTGGGTGCAGTGGCTCACGCCCGTAATCCCAACACTTTGGGAGGTTGAAGTGGGCGGATCACCTGAGGTCAGGAGTTTGAGACCAGACTGGCCAACATGGCGAAACCCTCTCTACTGAAAATTAGCTGGGGGCGGTGGCACATGCCTGTAATCTTAGCTACTTGGGAGGCTGAGGTAGGAGAATCGCTTGAACCCGGGAGACAGAGATTGCAGTGAGCTGATATTGTGCCTCTGCACTCCAGCTTGGGCCACAGAGCGAGACTCCATACCAAAAAAACAAAACAAAACAAACAGATGAAACTGGAACATAGAATCTCAGAGCCTGAGAGAACTTACTGTACTTATCTATCTATCCATCCATCCATTTTAAAAATTGATTTCCTTCACTTTTACCCCATGACCCACTTCTAATGTACATCTTCCACATTTTACCTGTTTCTTTCTCCAGTGATGACTACCCAGGTTGCCTCCAACACCATCACCACTACAAATAATGCTGCAGTGAAACCATTAATATCTGCTCTTTATTGTTTATTTTTATTTATTTTATTTAGGTTTTGAGACAGGGTCTTGCTTTGTTGCTCAGACTGGAGTGCAGTGGTGTGCTCATAGCTCACTGCACCCTCGAGCTGCTGGGCTCAAGTAATTTTTCCGCCTTGATCTCCCAAAGTGTTGGAGGATTACAGGTGTGATCCACTGCCCCCAGCTGTTTTTTTTAAATTGGTCCTTGGGTTTCTTCTCTAGCTGTTTTCTCAACTTCTTGAGTTGGAATGCCTGGCTCATTTATATTTACCCTTTTGTTTGCTGGTAAATTTATTTAAGTTATACTCTTACCTTTAAATATTGCTCTGTATTCCACAGATTTTGACAAGTTGTCATATTTATTGTCATAATAAAATAAACATTAAAACACATTTTAAGGCCAGGTGCAGTGGCCGACACCTGTAATCCCAGCATTTTGGGAAGCTGAGGTGGGAGGATATCTTGAGCTCAGGAGTTTGCACTAGCCTGGGCAGCTTAGCAAGACTTTGCCTCTATTTAGAAAAAAAAAAAAAAAGGATGACACCCGTGGAGAAAAATGTATAAATCATAAGCTTGACAGATTATCACAAAGTGACCACTCATGTAACTACTATCCAAGTGAAAAAAATAGAACATACATAGCATTCTAGAAGCTTCCTCATGTCACCAGTCGGTACTTCTTCCCTTCTCCTCAAAGGGTAGCCTCCCTCTGGACTTCTCAGACTCTTGTTTTTTTTTTTTACCTTTTTTTTTTTTTTTTTTTGAGACGGAGTCTGGCTCTGCCGCCCAGGCTGGAGTGCAGTGGCATGCAAATATCCTTGGGGTATAAAAAAAATGTTAGTTTTGCCTCCTGGGTTCAAGTGATTCTGCTGGGATTTGCAGGCGTGTGCCACCACACCTGGCTAATTTTTGTATTTTTGGTAGAGACGGGGTTTTGCCACGTTGGCCAGACTGGTCTCGAACTCCTGACCTCGAGGGATCTGCCTGCCTTGGCTTCGCAAAGTGCTGGGATTGCATGTGTGAGCCACCACGGCTGGCACTTGTGCTTATTTTTGAGTGAGTATGTTTCAGGATGCTCTATTTTGTACTGGCTTCTTTTGCTCACATTACATTTGTGAGATGAATCCATGCAGTAGGTATTTGTTTTCATTGCTATACACCAGTGTTTTGAATCAGGGTGATTTTGCTCCCTCCGAGGGCAAAATCTGATATTATATAGAGACATTTTTGGTTGTCACTACTCAAGGGTGGTTACTACCAGCATCTCTTGTGTGTAGGATGCTGCCAAACATTCTGTAATGCACAGGACATGCCTGCCTTCAACTCCCAGCAAAGACTTATCCAGCCCAAAATGTCAGTAGTGCCTGCTGTGTAGTACTGTCGTATTCCATTTTATTAATATACCAAAGCATATTATTCATTTTTCTTTTGAGGAAAATTTGGATGATTTATGTTTCTGTTGTTATTAAAACACAGGAATATGTGAGAACATATCTTTTTGGTTGCACATTTGTATACATTTCTATTAGTTGTATACCTGTAAGAACAATTCCTGGTCATAGGACATATATGTGTGTTCAGCTTTAGTAGATGATTCCAAACCATTTTCAAACTGGTAGAAAGTGATTGTTCCGGTTTACACTATTGTTACCACTGTGTAAAGTTAGAGTTCCAGTTGCTCTGTATTCTCACCAATACTTAGATTTGTCAGTTCTTTAATTTTAGCCATCCTGAAAGGTACAAAATGTCATCTTCTGCCCTCAGTCGGCACCCCTTTCCTCTTCCTAAAGGTATATGGATATATGTGTGTGTGTGTGTGTGTGTATGTGTGTGTGTGTGTATATATATATATATAAAAAGCTATTTTCTTTCTTTTTTCTTTTTTTTTTTAAATTTTTTTAGACAGGGTCTTGCTTGCTCTGTAACCCAGACTGGAGTGCAGTGGTACCATCTTGGCTTACTGCAACTTCCGCCCCCCAGGTTCAAGCATTTCTTGTGCTTCAGCCTCCCGAGTAGCTGGGATTACAGACACCCGCCATCACGCCTATCTAATTTTTGTATTTTTAGTAGAGATGGGGTTTCATCTTGTTGGCCAGACTGGTCTTGAACTCCTGACCTCAAGTGATACCCCCACCTCAGCCTCCCAAAGTGCTGGGATTACAGGCATGAGCCACTGCACCCATCTAGATAAAGCTATTTTCCTGATAACTAGTGAGATTGAGCACTTTTCCTGTGGTAATTAACCATTTTCTTTTTCTTAAATGAACAATTTAGGTTTACAAAAAAGTTAAGAAGATGGGACAGAGTTCCCACATACCCCTTCCCCCAGTTTCCCCTATCGTCAACATCTAGCGTTGATACGGTTCATTTGTTACAATTAATGAACCAGTGATACTGTTTACTAACTAGAGTTCATAGGTTATTTCCATTTCCTCAGTTTTTACCTAGTGTTCATTTTCCAGAACTGCGCCTAGGATACCAGATGACATTTGTTTGCCATTGTCTCTCCTTAGGTGCCTCTTGGTTGTGACATTTGCTGAGACTTTTCTGGTTTTTGATGATCTTGACAGTTTTGAGGAGTGCTGGTCAGGTATTTTGTAGGATGCCTCCCTATTGGAATTTGTCTGTTTTTCTCTTGATTAGGCTGAGTTACAAGTTTTTGGAGGAGCTCTATTTTTTAAGTACATGTTGCCATTGGTTACCTGATATGTGACTTAGAATTTTTGCATCTATGTCTTTAAGTAAAATGGGTCTATATATATTTTTTTCTACTATTTCATTTCATGGCTTAAGGAACAAGGTTATAATAGTCTCTGAAAAATCAGTTGGGAAAATTTCTATTTTTCTCTTTTCTGCTACAACTTAGGGTATTTTCAGTTCCATAAAGTTTAGTAAAATTCACCTGTAGAAAACATTCTTTGGATTTGGACATGATAAAATATCCCTTGCGATTATAATTTAAAAGCCATCTTGTAAAACAACGGGAAGGAGAAGAGCGGAAGCTCAAAGCTGGAGCTGCTGAGGACCTGCCAAAAGGCAGGCAAAGGAGCAGGCTCTGTGATTGAGACTAGTTGGGGAGGCCGGCGGGAAGCCAGGAGCCAGTTCATGTTATGGTGCCAAAGGAGAAAGAGTAGGGGCACGGGCAGCATTGTCGAATAGTGCAGAGGGGCCACGTGAAAGAAAGGACCAGATTCTGTCAATCCGTTGGCTTTGGTAGCAGGAGATCATATGTGACATGAGCAAAAGCAACTGTCAGAAAATACCTGCTCACACAGTTGTGTCGTAGGTCTCCAGGAGAAGGTTCGTAACTTGCTTATGTCTTCCTTCTTTTCACAGAATCCAAAAGAAGTGTTGACCAGGTATGTGCTCCTGTTCTCTTATGGGGACCTGGGTGGCATGGTAAAGATACAGGCTGAGCAGAAGGGAAACAAGGCCTAGGCTCCATAGGTCAGTCTGGGCACACCCTAAGAGGGGATCTGAGGAAAAATTCTCCCGATTGCTTTTGCGAGGAGGAATGGGAACAAAAGCCATCTGAACTTTGGGCTAAGAACGTTTGACTGGGAGTGGGGGTCCTGGCTACCCTAGTTGTCCCCTAAGAGCAGTCTTCTCTACCTTCTTAGGAGTGAGATCCAGGATATGAATTATTCTCTTGAAGCTGTAAAGGTGAAGACAGTGTGCCAGATACCATTGATGAAGGAAATGCTAAAGCAGTTCCAAGGTGAGCAGAATTTCTAGGAGGACTTGGGGCTCCTTAGAAATCTTTCAAGTAAGAGAATAAAGAGAGAAGTCTGAAGAGGAAAGAGGAAACAACATGCAGCTAATAGAGTGTCAGGAAAGGTGGTTAATAAGTGGGTGTACACTTCATTCAAGAAACATTTATTTAACACACCGTTATGAGGTGCTAGTGATACAAAAAGAAAGAGACCTGTTCACTTCTTCATGAGTTCATAAGCACATTGGAGACACACACACACGGCACTCACTGTGATATAGTAGGAGCCAGTGTTTGCTGGCAGGAGGAGTAAAATGTTACAGAAGTCCAGAGGAAGGGCTGTGTTGGGGGTGAGATGGGAAAGTTTTCACAGCAGAGGTGACAGTTTTGAGATTTGAGGGATTAGTAGGAGTTTGGCAGGTGGAAAACAGGGATGACTGTTTCAAGCAGAGGCAGCAGCATGAGCTAAGGTGTGGAGAAAATGGAGGGGTGGGTATCCAATGAGGCTAAAGAGCAAGGTGTATTTTGAGGAAAGATAGAGGTTGAGGTTGAGAAGAGTGTAAGACAGACTGAAAATAAACCCATTGGATCTCCAGGGACACACCAAGTCGTGCATGTACATGCTCTTGAAGCTGTGCTGGCGATTCTCATGTGCACATGTTTGATTAAGAACCATGTTGTAGGCCGGGCATGGTGGTGCATGCCTGTAATCCCAGCACTTTGGGAGGTCAAGGCAGGTGGATCATTTGAGGTCAGGAGTTGGAGACCAGCCTGGCCAACAGTCAAATATTATCATGCATGCAAAAAGACAGGAAAGCAGTGACCCATAATAGAGGAAAATAATCAACTGAAACTGACCTAGAATTGACACAGATGTTAGAATAAGCATGGAAGGACATTAAAACATTTATTATGAGTGTATTCTGTAAAGAGGTATATAGAGACCAGATCAACGTTTTAAAGATGAAAAATGTGGTGATTAAGGTGAAGAATGCACTGGATGGGATTAATAGTTGATTAAATATTACAAAAGAAAAAATTGGTGAACTTGAAGACAGCAATGGAAACTACAAAAAATGAAACATACACGGAATAAAAGAATTTACAAAAACACAAAGAGCATCAGTGACCTGTGGGACAACTTTATGCAGCCTTATTATCTATGGTGATTGGAGTCCCTGAAAGAGAGGAGTGGGGATGGGGATGGAATAGGAAAAATACTTTAAAAAATAATGACCAAAGATTTTCTGAATATAATAAAAACTAAGTCCACAGATCCAAGATGCTCAACAAACCCTAAGTATGAGAAATATGAAGAAAAATACGCCAAGGCTCATCATAACTTGCTTGAAACCAGTGGTAAAAAGAAAATCTTAAATGCGACCAGGAGAAAGGACAGTTACTTGCAGTGGAACAAAGGCAAAGTTGACATTACACTTCTCATTGGAAACAATGCAAGGGAGCAAACTCTTTAAAGTCCTGAAAGAAAAAACTGTTAACCTAGAGTTCTAGAACTGGCAAAAAATATCCTTCAGAAACAAAGGTGCAATAAATAAGTTTTGAGATAAACTAAAGCTTAAAAGAAAGAGTTTACAGCAGACTGACACTTCAAGAAATGTTAAAGGAAGTCCTTCAGACAGAAGGAAAATGCCAGATGGAAATCTCTCTACACAAAGGAATAAAAGAGCACCAGAAATGGTAATGACATGAATAAATATATATTATTGTCATTATTTATTCCTTTAAAAAGGAATTGCAATGGTAAGTTTATATGTCAACTTGACTGGGCCACAGAGTGCCCAGATATTGGTCAAAAATTATTTTGGGTGTTTTTGTGAGGGTGATTTTGGATAAGATTAGCATTTAAGTCAGTAGGCCTGTGTAGATGGCCCTTCATAATGTGGGTGAGCCTCATCTAATCAGTTGAAGGCTTGAATAGAAAGAAAGACTGACCTTTCCCTGAGCAAGATGGAGTTCTACAGCATACTGCCTTGGACTTCACCTGCAGCATTGGCTCTTCCTGCCTAATGGCCTTCAAACTGGAACACTGGCTCTATCTGGGTCTTGAGCCTGCCAACTCACACAGCAGATTTGGACTTGTCGGTAGCAATGATCACATAAGCCGGTTCCTTATATTAAATCTCATGCACTGGCTGGGTGTGGTGGCTCACATCTGTAATCCCAGTGCTTTGGGAGGCTGAGTTAGGAGGATTGCTTGAGGCCAGGAGTTCGGGGCCAGCCTGGGCAACATAGACCGTGTCTCTACAAAAAATAAAATAATTAGCTGAGTGTGTGCCTGTAGTCCCAGTTACTTGGGAGGCCACAGCAGGAGGATGGCTTAAGCCCAGGAGGTTGAGGCCGCAGTGAGCTGTGATTGCACCACTGCACTCCTGGGCGACAGCGAGACCCCATCTCAAAACCCAGAAAACTCATAGGTGCACACATGCACGTGTGCACACACACACCCACCCACCACACACAGACACACACAGACATATATATCCTTTTGGTTTTGTTCCTTTGGAGAACTCTGATTAATAATAATTGAGTATTTCAATAGACAAAAAATGATGTATTTTGGAGTTTATAACATATTTAAAAGTAAAATGCATGACAGTGGTGTGAAGATTGGGAGAGGAGAGATGAAAGTGTACTATGATACAGTTCTTATATGTGAAGTGGTGTAATATCACTTGAAGGGAGACTAATAAAAAGGTGTATACTGGTGCCAGTCCCCTACTGACTTCATTAAGGCTGGCACCATGTCTAAAAGGCCGAAGGAGATCTGGAATAGTGAATAAGACATGGGGTTTATTGAAGACCTACATGCAGGGCAGTCCAGGAATGGCTGGCTGGACAGGAAAACAAACCACTACTATTTGTAAAAAGCATGCAGGTGATACATAGCGTTTTCATTTAGCAGTCTCCACCTGGGACCCTCCATTTTACCAAAAAGAAAGGGCCTCGATTCCCTGTATAGCCTCTGCTTCCAAGGAATGGACCAGGAGTTCACATGGCCTTTATAGATAAGGAGTGCATTTCTGGATTGGCCACTCCTGGATTCCTTACCTCAGAACTCTGAACACACAGTCTTCTTAGACTGTGGGATTATTCTCAGGGGGTGCTGGAGTTACTGCTGTCAGGTGTGTCTGCCATACACTGCAGTCCAGCATACCCTCGAATGGCCCCCACATTCTTATCACATCATTCTCTGCAACTTCCCCGGGGCAAGGTATGTGCAGGAGCATTGCTGCCAGATGCTGCAGCAGCATTAGAAACTACAGCAACAAAAGACAATGACAAGCATAGTCCAATCATCCTCTACAGAAAGCTTTTCCAAGCACTTGGAAGTTGATAAGATAGAGATTCTATAGCTGAAATATGGGTTTCTAGGGTTCACATAGCCCCGGTTATAATGTGAGAGTAATAGGGATATATACACAACATTTGATTTTAATTAACGTGCAACTTCCACCCGGGGCAGCAGTTAAGGTATCCAGGACCATGCGATTTTACACAGTTGCCCAGTGAGAAGAGTAATGGCATGGCGCAGGTATCCTTGAAGGCTGCAGCCGTATGTTTAGTGAGGTCTCCAACTTGCAGCTCTGTGCCTATTGTTGCCACTTGGGGGCAAAAATGACCAAGGGGTAGAACCACCAGAATGCACACTTCTGGAAGCGCCTGGCTTTTACACTCTCCCAGTTTGTAGGACTGGTGTCTCAATGGGACACAATGTGTCCAGCAGGTGAGGACGACCCCAGGTGCACCTACCAGCCCAATTATAGGGTAAGTAAGGCCAGCTGTGGTTGCCATCTACCCGTAGCCATCCCCAAGGGGAGAGCATGGGCCCCCACATGGAGACAGTCACTGTGCCACCCTAGCCACATGTTATTGGCTATTTGAAGGGACTGGTTGCATTGCTGTGGGGGTAGCCATCCATATTATGGGTTTAGCTTGTGACGTTATTATCATGCCTTTCAGTACGTAAGGGTGCGTGACGTACTACCTGTGTCTGCACTCTTGTTACTCACCCTTGTCCATCGTGTTCAGCATACCCCACAGCTGGGGTAGCATTAACCTTCTCCCATACTAGGTGGAAAATATGTCATCTTATCTCATCGATGGTGGGAAACTCACTGCATAATGTGGTGGTGGTGCTGAAGGGAAGTGGGTGAGGCTCATCATGCCGACTATAGACATGACTCCAGGTGCTCAAGGTAGCAGCGTGGATGTGCCATGGCAGGTCCATTGTGGAGGAGAGGGGCAGCTCTCTGCAGACCCAATAGTCTGTTGTGTTCTGGAAAGAGGTCACCGTGTGCACCCAGCTGGTGAAGCGGTTTGCTGCACCCTATCTATGGGCAACAGGTGAGATGTTTAGTGGGTACAAGAAAGGGGAAGCCATTTAGTAAGACACAGGAAGTTGTGTCATTCTGAGAGCACCACCCCTGGCAATGGCCTGGCGCCTGGTTTATAATACCAAGTGAATTGGGACCTCTGTGATGCTTTGCAAGCGGCCAGAGTAAGACAGTGGGGGGCATTATAATGTTCTGTGAGAGGATGATTGTCCCCTTGCACAAGGAAGACTGGGATTCGTTATTTTAGAAGTACAGGGGGTTGGGGAGTAGGATGTAAAATAGGTGTGACCTGTGTATTCTATTCTCGGCCCTTCCCCCATGGAGTGCAAGAACCGACCTGAGAAATCTTTTCTTCTTTTTTTTTTTTAGTTGCCATATAATAATTGTACATATTTATGAGGTACAGTGTGATGTTTCAGTACTTATATACAATGCATAATGATCGAATCAGGTAATTAGCATATTCATCACCTCAAACATTTACCATTATCTGCGTCGGGAACATTCAAAATCCATTTCTACTAACTGGGAGAGTGTAAAATCCCAGGGAGGGTGGATTGACTCCCACTCTGTCTGAACTTATTTCCCAGCTTCACCAATTTCAGAGCAGTATCATCCTGCATTGTGGTGTTCTGCCTTCTTTCAGGTGCAGGCAAGTCTTCTAGGGCTACCCGCTGTGGGTGTGGTTGGTCTTCTTTTATCTTGGTGGTGACCATCAGACATGCTGAGAGGATGGGAACCTCTATGGACTCATCCCAGTCCTCATCCTCCTCGCCACTAGATCTCTCCACGGGGTCCCAGGACTTAGGGTCCCAGGACAATTTAGTCATGATAGTTCTAACTCCATGTGGCAGTCAGTGACCCTTCAAACAGGTTACGCAACAAACCAGAGTCTCCATTTTGTCATCCTGTTCCCACAGGTGGGACAATAAGTTCTCCAACACTTCAGCCTGAGCTAGTATCTCTCTAGTTGCAGCTCATCTTGTAACTGGTGAACCCTTGCCTGTGCCGCAAGGTCAGCCTTGGGGGCTGCTCTAAGCAGTCAGGAGTGGTCAGCCAACTGCAGCTGCCACAGCTTGGGCATTTGACTTTCCCTTAGTTGGATCTACCCCCTGCAGCAGTTCTTCCAGATCTTTTGGCATTTCGGGGATATCCTCATACTCACCTGGTGGGCCCCACCCATCAAGGATAGTGGCTATCAGGCCCCCCATACATGTAGACAGCCAGCCCAGGATTTCCATTGTGGATTTCTCCTCCCCTAATCCCATTGTCTTGGCACTCAAGTGGAATTTTCTCCGACCTCCTGCTGGGCTAATTGTGCTAGACCCCTATTGATTTCAGTAGGGATGGCACTGTGTCTGAGAAGTGGAAGAAACCTGGAGCCAGTGAATGAGACACAGGGTTTATTGAGGACTTATATGCTGGGTGGTCCAGGAGCAGTGGGCTGGACACGAAAACCAATTATACTGTTTGTAAAAAGCATGCAGATTATATAGCATTTTCACTTAGCAGCCTCCTCCTAACAACCTCCATTTAACCCGGAACAAAGGACCTCGATCCTCTGTACAGCCTGCATTCCAAGAATGGGCCAGAGGTTCAGATGTTCAGATGTCCTTCCTAGATAAGGAGCAGATCTCTGGGTTGGCCACTCCCACTTTCCTTAGCTTGGAAGTCTGAACACACATTCTACTTAGACCATAGGGTCATTGTCAGGGTATGCTTGAGTTATTGCTGTCAGGAGCATCTGCCATATGATTTTTAAACCACTAAAATAAGAGAATTGTAGCTAATCAATAAAGGAAATAAAGTGGAATTATAAAAAATGGTTAATAAAAAATAAGGCAGAAAAAGAAGAAAAGAGCATATAGGGCAAATAGAAAACAGCAAAATAATAGACACAAGTCTTATACTGATAATCACATTAACTATAAATGGTCTGAATGCTGTAATCAAAGGCAGAAGTTGGTTGGATTGGCTAAAAAAAAAAAAAGCAAGACCCAACTGTATACTGGAAAAGAAACACATTAAATATGAAGAACTATATATGTTTAAAGCAAAAGAATGGAAAAAGATATGTTAATAGATCTGGAGTGGGTATATTAGTGTCAAAGATTTCTGAGCAAAGGATATTACCAGAGATAAAGAATGTTATATCCTAATGATAAAGGGGTCAGTTTGTCAAGAGGATGTAAGTTCTAAACATTTATGCACTTAACAGTGCTTCAACTATATTAAGCAAAAACTAATAGAGTTGCAAGGGGAAATAGACAAATTCACAATTACTTTTGAAGTTTTCAATAACTTCTTTAAGTAATTTTTAGAGTAGGCAGTAAATCAACAGGGATATAGTAGACTTGAATAACATTATCAATCAACTTGATCCCATTATTTATAGAACAGTCTACCCAATAGATATGTACTACATATTTTTTTCAGTGTACATGAAACATTTTCCAAGATAGACTAAACTGGCTGTAAAGCAAGTGTCAAATTCAAAGGATTCAATTCATACAGAGTATGTTCTCTGATCACAATGGAATTGATAGAAATCGGTATCAAAATATCCTTGGAACCCCCCCCCCCAAATGTCAAGAATCTAAATAATAGACTTTTTAGTAACCCTTGAATTAAAGAAGAAATCAAAAGGCAAATTAGGAAGTCTTTTGAATGGAATGAAAAGGAAAAGACCACATACCAGAATTTGTGGGATGCAGCTAAAGCAATACTTAAAAAAAGTGTATAGTGCTATATTGGAAAGAAGAAACTTCTCAAATCAGTGACCTCAGCTTCCACCTTAAACACTAGAGAAAGAGGAACAAGTAAAGCCCAAAGTAAACAGAAGAATGGAAATAATAAAAAATCAGAGCAGAAGTCATTGCAGTAAAATACAGAAAGCCAACAGAAACCAATGAAACCAAAAGCTGGTCCTTTGAGAATTTCAGTAAAATTGATATACCTTTAATCAAAGTGATCAGAAAAAAAGAAAACACATTTATGTCAGAAAAGAAAAATGTGACATCGTTACAGATTCTACAGATATTAAAAAGATAATAGAATATTAGGAGCAACTTTTGCCAATAAACTTGACAACGCAGATGAAATGGATGAAGTCCTTAAAAGACACAAATTACAAAAGCTGACTCATGAAGATAGAGATAACTGGAATAATCTTATTTCTATGAAAGAAATTGCTGTTAGAAACCTTCCAAATGGCGTTCGTTTTTCCTTTTCTTTCTCTCTCTCGCCTTCTTTCTTTCTTTTTTCTTTGTTTTTGACAGTCTTGCTCTGTCACCCAGGCTGGGGTACAGTGGTGCAGTGGTGCAGTCTCAGCTTACTGCAACCTCCACCTCCCAGGTTCAAGCGATTCTGTTGCCTCAGCCTCCTGAGTAGCTGGGACTACAGGTGCATGCTATCATGCCTGGCTAATTTTTGTATTTTTTTTTTTTTTTAGTAGAGATGGGACTTCACCATGTTGGTCAGGCTGGTCTTGAACTCCTGACCTCATAATCTGCTGCCTTGGCCTCCCAAAGCGTTGGGATTATAGGCGTGAGCCACCGCGCCTGGCCCCCAGATGGCTTTCTTGGTGAAACATTTCACCAAATATTTAAGAAATAAATGCCAGTTCTTCAAGAACTCTTACTGAAAACTGACGAAGAGGGAATATTTCCCAATTCTTTCTGTGAGGCCTGTATTACCGTGATGCCTAAATCCGACAAAGACGTTACAAGAGAAAAGAATTATAGATCAATGTTTCTCATGAACATAGATACCTAAATTCTAAGAAAACTTTAGCAAATTGAATCCAACAATATATTAAAAGGATAATATGTATTAATCACAATGAATTTATATATCCTTTGGTATACAAAAAGGATAATGTATAATAATCACAATATATGAGATTTATCCCAGAAAAGCGTAGTTGGTTTAATATTTGAAAATCGATGTAATTTATATCATTAAAGTAAAAAAAAAAAAAAAAAAAGGAAAACCATGTGATTGTCTCAGCTGAAGCAGGAAAAGCATTTGTCAAACTCTAGCATACATTCCTGATTTTTAAAAAAAGTCCTCAAACTCAAGAGACATGGAGAGTCGGAGGGAAGGGAATTTGGAGGCAGGGAGGCCAGGGAGGACGTTGTTAACACATTGAGTGATGCTGGAGATTGGAGTAAAAGCAGTGGCAATGGGAGTGGAGGGGAGGAAAAGAACCTAAGTGACAAATTTCAAAGGTAGAATTGATAGGACTTGGTGACTGACTAGCTGTTGAGGGTTAGAGGAAAAGGAGTTGCAAATAAAGATTTCACAGCATGGTGTTCAGGTGGAGGTGACTCTGACACCTTAGAGAACGTAGAAGGCAAGATATCTGCATGTGAAGTGGATTAGTCCCGAGATTATAGAAGGGGGAGTAAGTAAGATAATTAGCTCAATTTTGAATGATTGGGGAGATTTGTAGAGATGTCCCATAAACAACTGGAACCCCTGAAGAGACCTCGATTTTCTGTCCTATGTGACACCTGTGTGTATCTAGCCAAAGAACCAGCTAGTCAGCAGCTTTGGTTCTAGTTTTGATTCAACATGTGAGAATTTGTTAATATCTCTCCAAATTTTAGGCTGATTGTGAAAACTTGGATCATGAAATAATTAGATCCCCAGTTTCTAGAGGTTAGTTTTGTTTTTTTTTTTTTTTAGATAGAATCTTGCTCTGTCACCCAGGCTGGAGTACAGTGGCATGATCTCAGCTCACTGCAACCTCCGCCTCCTGGGTTCAAGTGAGTCTCCTGCCTCAGCCTCCTGAGTAGCTGGGATTACAGGTGCCCACCATCACACCGGGCCAGTTTTTTTTTGTTTTTTTTTTTTGTTGTTTTTTTTTGATATTTTCAATAGAGACAGGGTTTCGCCATGTTGGCCAGGCTGATCTCAAACTCATGACCTCAAGGAATCTCCCCGCCTCAGCCTCCCAAAGTGCTGGGATTACAAACATGAGTCACTGCGCCCGGCCTAGGGCCTAGTCTTTTAGAGCAGAAGGGAAATGAGGACTTCAGGTTGCTAAAGGCCATGCTGTGGCCTGCTAGGCCTGGCTGAGGATCAGTTGGGCAGCAGTGACGAGTCATGAGTGCTTGTTAGGAGGAGCAAGATGAAACTGATGGCTGGAAGAGATGGGCATTTCTGGGGAAGGGTTGATGATAAGCTGCTGCGCTACTTATCTCAGCTCTCATTTTCCCCACAGTGGCTGTAAACCTAGCTGAAGACACAGCTCATCCCAAACTCGTCTTCTCCCAGGAAGGGAGATACGTGAAAAATACAGCATCAGCCAGTTCTTGGCCAGTGTTTTCTACAGCATGGAACTACTTCGCTGGATGGAGAAATCCTCAGAAGACCGCTTATGTAGAGAGATTTCAGCACTTACCCTGTGTTCTGGGAAAAAACGTTTTCACCTCAGGGAAACATTACTGGGAAGTTGAGAGAAGAGATAGTCTGGAGGTTGCCGTTGGGGTGTGTCGGGAGGATGTCATGGGAATTACTGATCGTTCAACAATGTCCCCAGATGTGGGCATCTGGGCAATTTATTGGAGTGCTGCTGGCTATTGGCCCTTGACAGGCTTCCCTGGAACTCCCACCCAGCAAGAGCCAGCTCTCCACCGAGTGGGGGTTTACCTGGATCGTGGGACTGGGAATGTCTCCTTCTACAGCGCTGTGGACGGAGTGCACCTGCACACCTTTGCTTGTTCTTCTGTCTCACGCCTCCGGCCATTTTTTTGGTTGAGTCCATTAGCATCTTTAGTCATTCCACCAGTGACTGACAGGAAATGAGGCTTTTCTTCCCCTGACCAAAACTCCTTCCCTGTAGTCCAGCTCAGGGACACACATCCCCGGGCCCTCTTCTGCCCTTCATGTCTCTATCCTGGATCGTCCATCTTCTGGGTCTCCCTAATGGAACCATTTGGTATCTGCCCTTTGTGTGCTTCACAAGAGGCAGTCCCGTGGGAGGTGGTTCTGGCCAATGGAGATGGGACAGGAAATTTTCCAAGGTGCTTTTGGGAAATCTTTTTGTAGGTTTTAAAGAGATGTGCGGGGAAGACATATGGATGTTAGCAGCCATATTGGAACTCAGAACACAGGAATGGTGGAAAGGTAGAAGAAACATAGTTTTTGTTGCCATTGTGAAATTGTTGAAATTTCCTTAATCCTGAGCTTCTTATATGAGATAATTATGCCCTTATTGTCTAAGACAATTTTAGTTGTATTTGGTTACTTGCAGCCTGAAGTACCCTAACTGGCACTAAAGGGACATAGTGTGAACATCCCACAGTATAGGCTTATGTCATGTTTGTGAAATTTGACAAAGGCATAGAATCTTTTTCTATCCAGTCAGGCATTGCCTGTTCTTTCCAGTAAGTACTGATTCCCCCACTTTTCTGTCTTAGAAAATTGTGGGAATCCCCCCTCACTCTGCCCATGTTGCATTCTCTCTCTTCCCAACCATGTCTCTGCCCTCAGCTATTAACTGTACTGTGTATTTGTCAAGTTCCTATATTGTATGTACAGGGTTATTCATGTCATCATGAGAATGTTGGAACGCTTGTTAAGTACTTACCTTTTGCTAGCCTCTTCATATGCTGTTGCATATGATTCTCATCACAACTCAGTGAGATGGAAAGTAAAATCCTATTTGTACAAATGAGAAAACCGAACTCTTTAGAGTAACTAGCTCAGTATTGGCTAACTGGTAAATGGCAGTGTTGGGACTAAAATCCAGATTTGTCTGAGATGAAAGCCCATGCTCTTATCTACTCTCCGTTTATTCGGAAGCATTTATTGGATGTTGATCTTTGTTTCAGGTTTTGATTTTGTTACATGTTTTTTTATACTGTGTGTATTTTCCTCACTCTACCCTTCTGCTCTAGATTGTCTGGACTCAGGAGATTGTAGCAGTTACTGGATAGTTATTTTTAAGATAATGTTTGCTTTTCTCTGTTCATATAAGTCATGTGTACTTACTGTAGAAAGTTTGTAAGATACAAAAAGTATAAAAATTAAAGTTATGCACTACTAACATTTTATTTTCTCCCAGATTTTCAATAAAGACTTTCAGGCAACAATTTAACAAGGATTTTATTTTAACTTATATTTTAGTTTAAGGGGAACACGTGCAGGTTTGTTCTGTAGATCAATTGCATGTCACAGGGGTTTGGTGTACATATTATTTCCTTACCCAGCTAATAAGCATAGTACCCAATAGGTACTTTTTTGATACCCTACCCTCCTCCACCCTCTACCCTCAAGTAGTCCCTGGTGTCTATTGTTCCCTTTTTTGTGTCCATGGGTACTCAATGTTTAGCTCCCCTTATAAGTGAGAACATGTGATGTTTGGTTTTCTGTTCATGTGTTGGTTTGCTTAGGATAATGGCCTCCAACTCCATCCATGTTGCTGCAAAGACATGATCTCATTCTTTTTTTATGACTGCATAGTATTCCGTGGTATAGATGTACTACATTTTCTTTATCCAGTCTATCGTTGATGCGCATTTAGGTTGATTCCATGTCTTTGCTAGTGTGAATAGTGCTTCAGTGAATGTATCCACGCATATGTCTCTGTGGTTGAATAATGTCTTCAGGTATTGGGTGTATACAGAATAATGGGATTGCTGGGTTGAATGGCAGTAGTGAGGATTCTTAAACAACTTCCAGTATCTTCCCTAACTCTTCCTCCCCTCCTCCTCTTCTTACACATCAGCCATCTTGGCTTGTCTTCCTGTTCAGCCTGAGCAGCCCCCTCGTTCAACAGTTTCTACTGAGTTCTCAACTTCCCAGGATATTTGCTGTTATAGGTTGAATTATGTTCCCCAAAAAGATACGTCGAAGAGCTGCCTGTGAATATGACCTTATTTGGAAATAGGATATTTGCAGATGTAAGCAAGATAAGGTCATTTGGATGGGCTCTAATCCAATATGACTGGTGTCCTTATAAAAAGAAGGAAATGTATGCATATGTTCACACACTCATGCCCACACACACACAGAAAAATGCCAGATGGAAACAACGTGAAAGAGGCTCTGGAAGATGGAGGCAGAGATTGGACTGGAGTTACGCTGTCACAAGCCAAGGAACCTGGGGCTACCAGAAGCTGGGGGAGGCCAGGAAGAACCTTCCCCTAGAAACTCTGAAGGGAGCATGGCCCCATCAACACCTTGGTTTCTGATTTCTAGCTGCAACAACTAAGGTTAGACAATAAATTTCCATTGTTTTAAGCCACCAAGTTTGTTAGGGCCACCTTAGGAAATGGTGACTATGCTTGCCCATCAGGACGTCCTTCAATGCCTGCCTTGCTAATAGCTAATCCTTTGGAAACTCATCAGTACCTTCCCTCCCCTCTTCCTTCTGGTTATTGAAAGGTTGATTCTACTACAAGTCCTTGCTCTCTGCCTTCAAGTGGGCCCTTTGAGCTGCATGGTAAACTTTTTTATCACTCGACTTGTTTTTACATCTGGTGGCAATGATTCCAAACTTTTCCTTTTAAGCCTTCATGAGTCCCCCTTCATACAATTGCGAAGAACTTGCATCTTCAACAGAGAAAAAAAAAATTCTTTTCCTCTGCCTCTCTTTTTCTTCACAGTTCTTTGTCTCTGTGCTTGAGTCTTGATATTGACCCCTCTGGTCTCATCAGGTATGGGGTGGGACCTAGGTGTTCATTTTTATTTAAAAAGCCGACCAAAAAAAAAAAAAAAAAAAAGCAAAACCCCACCCATAAACTCTTTCCATGCTTCTTGATATACAAACAGGATTGAAAATAAACTGTCAGTTGTAAACTAAAAATCCTAAGCCTCCCGTCTAACTGAATGAACCCCCTCCTGGCTAAGGGGACTCCAGAGAAACCTGAACAACAAATTTCTGGCCATGATTGGCTGAGAAGTTAGACATGCCTCAGGTGCATTTCCTCCCTTTTGGAGTTTAGACACAACAACTGCCCAGTCTTAAGAGTGAAATAGAGACAACAGGATTAACAAAATGGGCTCTGTGACGATAAGATACCAAATCGTAAGTAAGACCAAAGGCCATGACAGACCTTAAGTCACACACCCTTACAGGTCAATCTAATGCAGTGAATTAGCTAACAGACCTCCTATCCTTCAGGGATGTCCTAGAAAGGTGCTGTAGTGCTGCGGTTGTCCACTTTGCGGTGGTGCCTGCGTATCGTGAAGATCTGTCTGCAAGCTGAGGAGCGAGGAAGCCAGTCCAAGTCCCGAGGCTGAAGAACTTGGAGTCTGATGTTTGAGATGATGATTCAGCACAGGAGAAGGATGTAGACTGGGAGGCTAAGCCAATTTAGCCTTTTCACATTTTTCTGCCTGCTTTGTGTCTTGGCCGCACTGGAAGCTGATTAGATGGTGCCCACCTACATTAAGGGTGGGTCTGCCTTTCCCAGCTCACTGGCTCAAATGTTAATCTCCTTTCACAACACCCTTACAGACACACCCAGGATCAATACTTTGCATCCTTCAATCAAGTTGACACTCAGTATTAACCATCACAATACCCATATATACAAACACTTCCAGAATTATTTCTGTCTACCCATCTATATTTATACTAAGCGAAGCATGAATTAATACTGATGTCTCCAACTCTAATCCAGCTCCATGAGATTCATTCTAGCCTTCCCTCCTTTCTTATCATCTGTAATTTTCTTCTCTGATAGAAACCTGGCTCTCATCATCTACCCATCATACACGCGAAGCAGATTCAGAATTGTTAACCTGTATCCCAGTGAGAAATTTATCAACTGGAGTATAGTATTTGTGTACAATTCCTTTTATTTTTCACCTTATGTTTTCCTATTAAAACAGCATTTTCCAAAGTTGTTCAGCTCCTTCCCCTACCACTCCGTTCTTCAGTGAGATTGTGTAGTAGATTTGTAATATAGATTCTTCCTCACAGTCTGCATTTCATCCTGGAATTCTTCCAACATCCTGTTTAATTTTTAAAATTTTGTGTATATCGAAGTTCACTCCTTGTTGATGTATGGTTCTATGGGTTTTGACAAATGCATGAGTTATGTATTTATCACTCCAGTACCAAATAGAATAGTTTCATCATCCTATCATTACCCTGTGTATCCCCTTTGTAGTCATCCACCTGCCTTCCCAACTCCCAGGTGGGAGGGTAGGTGGATGACTCCCAATATATTCTGCATATATTGATATAATCATATGGTTTTTGTTTTTGGTTCTGTTTATGTGATGAATTACACTCACTGATTTGCATATGTTGAACTAACCTTGCATCCTAGGGGTAAAGCCTACTTGAGAGTGGTGGATTACCTTTTTGATGTGCTGTTGGATTAGGTTTGCTAGCATTTTGTTTGTTTGTTTGTTTTTTGAGACAGAGTTTCGCTCTTGTTGCCCAGGCTGGAGTGCAATGGCGTGATCTTGGCTCACTGCAACCTCTGCCTCTTGGGTTCGAGTGATTCTCCTGACTCAGCCTCCTGAGTAGCTGGGACTACAGGCACCCGCCATTACACCCAGCTAATTTTTGTATTTTTAGTAGAGATGGGGTTTCATCATGTTGGTCAGGCTAGTCTAAAACTCCTGACCTCTTGTGATCTGCCCGCCTCAGCCTCCCAAAGTATTGGGATTACAGGCGTGAGCCACCACGCCCAGCCAAGCATTTTGTTGAGAATTTTTCCATCTATGTTTTTTTAAGGATATTGACCTGAAGTTTTCTTTTTTTGTTGTGTCTCTGCCATGTTTTTGTATCAGGATGATCCTGACCTCATAGAATGAGGTAGGGAGGAGTCCCTCCGCTTCAGTTTTTTGGATAGTTTCAACAGGAATGACACTAGCTCTTCTTTATACATCTGGTAGAATTCAGCTGTGAATCCTTCTAATCCTGGGCTTTATCTGGTTGATAGGCTTTTTATTACTAATTCAGTTTTGGAACTTGTTATTGGTATGTTCAGATTTTTAATTTCTTTCTGGTTCATGGTGGGAGATTATATGTTTCCAGGAATTTAGCCACTTTTAGTAGGTTTTCTAGCTTGTGTGCATGGAGGTGTTTGTTATACTCTGAGGTGTTTTTTTTTTTTTTTTTAAATAATTCTATTGGGTCAGCAGTGATGTCCCCTTGTCATTTCTGATTGTGTTTATTTGGATCTTCTCTCTTTTTCTTTATTAGTCTATCTAGTGGTCTATCAATCTTACTTATTCTTTCAAATATCAACTTCTGGTTTCATTGATATTTTGTATGGTTTTTTTGCACCTGAATTTCATTTAGTTCAGCTCTGATTTTGGTTATTTCTTGTCTCCTGCTGGCTTTGGGTTTGGTTTGCTCTTGTTTTTCTAGTTCCTCAAGGTGTGATATTAGGTTGTTAATTTGAGATTCTAGCTTTCTAATGTGGTCATTAGTGCTATGAACTTTCCGCTTAATACCACTTTGGCCATGTCCCAGAGATTTTGGTATATTATATCTTTGTTCTCACTAGTTTGAAAGAATTTCTTGATTTCTGCCTTAATTTCATTGTTTACCTAGAAGTCATTCAGTAGCAGGTTGTTTAATTTCCATGTAATTGTTTAGTTTTGAGTGCTGTTCTTATTGTTTTCTATTTTTATTGTTTTGTGGTCTGAGAGTATGGTTGGTATGGTTTTGGTTTTTTTCAATTTGTGGAGAATTGTTTTATGGCTGATTGGTTGATTTTAGAGTATGTGCCACTGCAGATGATAAGAATGTGTATTATTTTGTTTTTGGAGTGGAGAAAACACAAATAAATGAAAAGACATTCCATGTTAGTGAATTGGAGGAATAATATTGTTAAAATGTTCATATTACCCAAAGCAACCTACAGATTAAATGCAGTCTCTATCAAAATCCTGATGGTATTTATTACAGAAATAGAAAAAAATCCTAGAATTCATATGGAACCACAAAAGGCCTCAAATAGCCAAAGCAATTTTGAGCAAGAAAAACACAGCTAGGGCCATTACAAGTCCTGATTTAATACTATATTTCATAGCTACAATAATCAAAACAGCATGATACCGATATAGGAGTTAAAAAGGAATTATTTAGGCAGTTAGTAAGGGTAAAAGAATTATCAGTGGAATTTCCTTTTAATAAAAAGCAGCCCCCACATCATTTCTTTTCTAACAAAAAGCAGCCTGAAAAATCAAGCTGCAAGCATAGATATACAAGCTGGAAGCTTGCATAGGTGAATACTGGCAGCTGTGCCAATAGAAAAGAGATACTTGGAAGCCAGGTACATCCAACATGGAGGTTTTCTCCTCCCTTCTCTTTGTTGCCACATGTGCAAATGTCATGGTACTGGCCAGGTGGAGACCCCACCTGCATAATAAAAGATTAGGGTGGGATGGCCAGCCTAATCACAGCTATGTAAATGGCACACTGGGTCCAAACAATCCCCTGGGCCCTGTGAAAATCAGACACTGCCTTTCTAAGCCCCTCTATAAAGTCAACTGCATCTCACCCCAAACCTGGAAACCCACTTTGGTTCCCTTCCTTTGCATGAGGAAGCTCTCTCTTCTTTCTTTCGCTATTAAACTTCTGCTGTTAAACCCACTCCTTGTATGAGTC